AAGTTCGAGGCCGTGCGACCGCTCTCAGTCGCGGAGTCCAACTGGGTCCGGGAGAATGTGGCGAACGACCGGATCCTGAACTGCCGCTTCGCCTACCGGGACAAGAACTATAGCAAGAGGAAGGCTGCGCCGGATGCGGGGACCCCTTGCAAGCCGAAAGCGCGCCTGTGTGTCGGTGGACACATGGACCCGGACATCGGGAAGGTGATGTGATGCCCCGACTGCCACAAGAACCAGCCTCATGCTGACGCTGCAGAAGTCGCTCAACGAGGACTGGGAGGTCTGCGCCGCGGATGTGCAAGCCGCTTTCTTGAACGGCATCCCGGCGGGACGCAACCTCTACTTCCGCCAGCCGAAGCGGGGGATTCCAGGTTTGGAACCTCACCAGCTCGTATCCATCGAGAAGGGAGTGTTCGGGCTCTCTACGAGCCCAAGGCTTTGGTGGGAAAAACTCTCCAAGGATGTCACGAACCTGAAGTTGGAGGTGGAGGGGGAGACGCTGGTGGTGAAGCACAACCTCATCGACCCCTGTGTCTTCGAGTTCCGGACCCTGGACGGCGAGGTCCGGGCTCTGATGCTTTCTCATGTGGACGACTTGCTCCTGGCCGGCCGGAAGGCAGTCAATGAGGCGGTCCGCCAGAAGCTGGACGCGATGTTCCCCATCGACGAGTGGAACTTTGGGGACTTCGACTATGTCGGGAGCCACTATGACCTGGACATAGAGAAGGGCACGACATTGATGGGCGTCTTAGAGGCTGGATTTCGACAAGGAGGCGGACGAAGAGAAGGAGGTGGACGGCGAGCTGAAGGCGGACAACCGCACGGTGGTGGGGAGTCTCAGCTGGCTCGCGCTGCAATCTAGACCCGACCTCCAGATGGGCGTGGCGGAGGCACAACGCCATCAGAATGCGCCCCGGATCAAGCACCTCAAGGAAACCAATGCTCTGGTGACCCAAGCCGGGAAGTTCCAGGGCGAAGGCATTACCCTCCGGAAGATTCAACCGGGCCGGGAGATCCTGATCGCCTACCACGATGCGGCCTGGGGTAACGTCGAACTGGAAGGTGAACGCGATGAAGAATGGGAAGGAAAGTTCCTGACCGGCTCACAGCTTGGGGTGATGATCTTCATGGCTGACAAGGACGTCCTGAACAAGGAAGGAGGCCCGGCCAGTCCCTTGACCTGGATGAGCAAGGTGTGCAAGAGGACCTGCCGGTCCACGTTTGCGGGTGAAACTATGGCGTGTTGCGAGGCTTCGGAGCATGCGCTGTTCCTGCGGGACCTGTGGAGCAGTTTCCAGAAGTCCGAGTCGGGCACGATGGACTTTCACCTCATGACCGACTGCCGATCCCTGTACGACCACATCCACAGGGCGGGAGCACCGAAGGCCCCGTCGGAGAAGCGATTGGCCATCGACCTGGCGGGTCTCCGGCAGATTCTCCGTCAGGAGGGACAGCGGCAATGGGAACTGAGGAACCCTGGTCTGGAGCCGACGCCCACTCGCCCCATGAAGGCGCCGCTCCACTGGGTGCCGACGGAATGGCAGATGAGCGATGTGCTCACAAAGAGAATGTGCCCGCGGAAATGGTGGGGACTCATGGCGAGCGGCAGCATCCAGATTCCCTGGAAGTTCAACAAGCAGAAGTGAAGCTCTGCCAACAAAAAATTGGCTCCATTTTGGAGCTGTGTGAATATGGAAGCGTTTGCACGTGGGAAACCTTCCCCGACCGGCCGTTAGGCCCAAGAGTCAATCGAACAGGTAGGAAAAGGTGCTCATGCGCAGCCTCGCATGATCTTGCCTGCTCTACGGCATTAACACCATGTTTTCCCCGAGATTAAACGCATTCTGCAGAGTTCGCTTCCCTGGCAAGTTGGGCCAATGAGAAGACCTGGCGTATGATTTGCAAGGCACTGACATTGGGACGCGTGTCTTCAAGATCGGCATCATCCGCGCAGCCTTCAATCACGGGTACCACATTCTCTCCTCATTATTCCTCTCGAAGGCAGAAAGGGGTCGTCACGAGACAGGGAGCGCCGCCCACATCCCGTCGAGCGAGCACCAAGATTGCCGGGGGGTAACCAGGTGCAGAATAAACTGAAGCAAACGTTGTACGACAGTCTGACCATGAAGCAAAAAATCAATGATCAGTAGCCTTGTTTCTTTCCCCATAAGCTGGTCATGCAGAAGTAGCCTTCCTTGCAAGCAGCAGCGTTGCCGAAGACTGAAAAGCAAGCAACAGCGCGGAGCTGTCACACGACGGGCTTGATGAACCCCCGGATCTCCTCTGAAATTCGCTCGAGGCCGCTCCAAACTCCGGAAGCCTGTCCAGCCAACCCTTGATGGATCAAATCATGGATCCTTTGAAACCCAACCTCGGACCTCTTTGGAGTCTTTGGAGCTTATTTGGGCACTTCCTTTTATGCCGGCAAGTAAAGGGGAGAGAGAGACCGAGCCCAAAAGCTGACATTGCTCGGCCCTTTCACCCGACTGTGTGCAGTCCCGTTTGTCCAAGAACGTTTGGGCCTTGATGCAGCAGATTGCCAACCCGCATACGTGGCAGGAGCCCATCCGTGGTTCCTTGCTGTGCCCCTTCCTACTTCGCCGGGACCATCCTCTGATAGTTCAGCGCTACAGGCTGTTCGAAGAGCAGCCTGCTCCATTCTTGGCAGCTTGGAGACCAAGGATTCGGATTGTGGGATGTTTCGACGTTTCCTTCCATGCGGCTTGCTTCGAGTTTGCCCCCCACATTTGGAAACGGCTTCATGAGTAACCTGAATCCGGACAAATGATTCACAGCTCTTGTCTAGCAGCTTTTGCTTGTTTCTAGACCTTGCGCACTAAGGAACTGGTTGGGCGGCCTGAGAGCGATGACGAGAGGCAGCCACAGGAGCCCATCACCAAGAAGAAGCGCACCACGGCGCCGCTCGAGATCTCCGTTGCCATGGAGGCCCGATGCGACCTCCAAACCAGGCTGAGAGGCCATCGAGGGCTTCCCAAAGCGTTTGGAGAATGAATTGCCAGGAAGGAGCCAATCTGGCGCGACGAAGCCACGTGTGGTTTGCATGTCAGCTGCGCAGGCGCCGGAAGAGCCTGCCGAGCCCGTGGAAGCGCCAGAAACGGCGGAAGAGTACGATCCCTTCGCGGAGCCCGTCGCAGACGCACCGGAAGAGTACGATCCATTCGAACCCTTCGAGGAGCAGCCAGAAGGTATCGACAACGCCTTGGAGCCTTGGTGAAAGAGACAAGGTTGCGAGTTGCCGGGTGGATTTTTGGTTGAGTTTGGCATGCAACCCAGGATTTCCTTTCGGCCGCAGACACGGTTGGCATAGCGACGGACGATGCAGTGGAAACCGCCGGCATAGAGACGGGCGATGTCGCCGCGGATGCGGTTGGCATGGCCACAGACGATGGATACGGAGACGGCTTCGGGGATGGCTACGGGGATGCGGATGGTGCAGCCGTCGCTGGGCAATTCATCAGAGTTCCAAATAAAGATGAGTCTTGCAGGTCGGTTTTGCACTGGCAAGCAGATTTTGTGGGCAGCAGGGCTCGAAAGCTCAGGCCCTTGGTGCCGAGCTGGACGAGGCTTGGCCAAGCTTCGGCATTGGGCCAAATGCGTTGGGTTTTGCGGGGTCAAACCAGTGGCCCATGTGACAAGGTGCCTAGTCAGTCGTGTGGCTCTGTAGAAAAGCTTGCCATGCGAAGGCGCCTTAACGGGGAGGATAATTGAGGATGGGGGTGACAAGAATTTGCGCAGCTTCAAGTGCACTAGCTTGCAGAATGCAATGCAGAATGCAGAATACTGAATGTGAGGTGTTGTTGCAGAAAACAGACAGACCACATCCTGCTGCAGAAGACAGAGTATTAGTTGCAGACTGCAGAATACACAAAAGCAAGTGGGTTGCGCCTCAGCGACCTGTTGCGTTACATCTTTGTCACAATGTTCACCGGAGTTGATGCGGCTGCTTGCCCATGTCATTGTGCTGTGGGTGGGGGCGCCACTGCGCTGGATGGGATTTGGAAACAAGACGCTCGAAAGGTAGCTTCTGCTTATGCATTTCTTTCCGTTTCAGCGAGCTTGTCGGCTGTGTTTGCATTTGCTCTGACACTAGAAGTTGTTTACATGTATGGGAGGACCACCGGCGTAAATTTTGCGTCGATTCAAAAAAATGCTCGCTATTTGGCAGTTGGATGCGGCGCGCGCGAAAAAACTATCGCTGGATCCGCGCGTCAGCAGCTTTCTGCTGCGCTTCGCTCTTGCATGACAGTTCTCATTGGGCACAATGTTTCACGAACAATTGTGTTGAGAGTCCGCAGTTTTTCATCTTGAATCAATCTAGAGGTTGCACCGTTGCACTTTTACACGCCGGCGCCTGTCAGCGAGCTCATCAAGGGGGCCCTGCGGTTAAATTGTTCATTCAATGTCGGGCGTGGTCCAGCAGTTGCTCCATTGATTTGACCCCAGGAGCTTCTGGATTTGGACCCCGACATGCTGGCAGAGGAGCAGCGGCTGCTGCAGGAGCAGATCAGGCTGCTGGAGGAGGAACAGTTGGAGCTATGAGCCTCGAGAAACAGGCGCCTGGAAGACTATATATATATATATATGGAAGGTAGGGAGGTGGGCTGCTGGGCACGTGCGCCACATTGATTGACACAGAACATCATGCCGGCTTGAGATGGGCGAAGTTTGGGCAGACAGGCAGAAGTGGCGCGGCTGTGGCAGAGCTGCAAAGTGAGCCGTGTTTTGCTCACAGAATGTCGGGCAATGAGATGCCAAACTCAGTGCCAGGAAAGGCCGGGGAACCGGCAGGAAGTGCCAAGCGTTGTACATCCTGTCAGTTTGTTCCAGCCATGGCGTTGTACAAAGCATTCCTGCAAAGATGGGACGTGTGCATTCTATGTTCCTGCTGATGCCAACCAAAAAAAAAAAGCTTCGTGGGCTGCCAAGTGCCTCCCGAGAATGTGTCCCATTCCGATTCCGAGAGCGCAAAGCGCCGGCAGGAAACCGATGCAGCAGCGGCGCTGGCAGCACTTAAGGCAACTTGGTTAGACTTCGCAGAGACATGGGGAGCGTCACGTTGCTTGGGGCCAAGGCAATTGCGGCATGAGAGAAGTTCGTTGGAAGCGTTGGCTGTGAGGCGGCCGATGCGCCTTTCGTGGTGAACATCCGCAGTGCCAGAAGGCCCGGCATGGAACTTTGCTGCCAGATGCGAAGCCATGGCCTGCAGCCAGAACGTTAGTTTGGCATCCATGGCTGTGGTGTTTTAAGATGATTGGCTGCGCCGCTTGCTTTGCTTTTTTTTGCTTTGCTTGTCTTGCTTGTCTTGCTTGTCTTGCTTGTCTTGCTTGCTTGCTTGCTTGTTTGCTTGCTGCCTACCTGCCTGCTTGCTTGTTTCGGTCTTCCTGGCATCCATGCTATGCTTCCTTGTTTCCTGGCATCCTCGCTTCAATTGTTTGCTTACTTTTGTTTTTGTTTATTTGTTTGCTTACTTCCCTGCTTCCTTGCTTCGTTGAGCTTCCCCTGTTGCCTCCTGTCTTTGTCTCTTTGCTTCTTTTGCTTGCTTTGCATCGCTTGCTTGCCCATGCTCAGCGGTTTTCATTGTTCAAATGTTTTGGAAGCGGCTGCTTGCTTTAGTAGCATCTGCCCAGTCAGCAGTGACAATTCGATTAAGTTTGGTGATACTGACTTTGTTCGGTCAGGTTTCAATCCACTATCGCCAATTAGTAGCCCTGCTACTGTACAAACAGCCAGCAGCCAGTGGAGGGTGAGCCGTGTTTAGCCCCTGCCAAGGATGGAGTCGTTGCCGGGGTCAAATTGATGCTCGCGCCACTGGCGGCTTTATCTCTCCTCCGCAAAATATGGTCAGCTCAGCTGGAGCTCGGGTGGTAACCACCTACCTGTACTTCGTAAACCTACTACCTCGAAACTCGCACCGCGTGGCAAGCCACAAAGAAGGTACCTGTAAACACACTGTTTGCACGAAAATTCCAGAACAGCCCACTCGGCCTACCCGCTGTCATACCATGCAAGAAACAATCAGTGAATCCACGTCCCACGCTCCCAGTCCATACTTTGCAGGATCTACTTGGGAAATGATGGCGCCACTTCAGACTCCGTCACAGCCACTGCACCAGCAATGAAAGATCGCCACCTCAAGCCAACCACAAAAAGAGACAAAGCAGATTTGCCACTGCCCTGCGATGGAGTGGTTGATAGTGGTTGTGCGATTGATGTGTTGGTTGCTTGACTTTTTGCAGCGAATCGGGGAGCGCCAGGATCGCGTCGATCGTCCTTGAGGGCTGCAGACCGGCCGCGTCCTTGGTTGGGTGATGCCTGTTAGACATGAGCGGCGAGAGTCAAAGTATGTTCAAGAAAGGCAGCAGAAAGTGAAGCCACCTCACCACAACTCGAAGATCAAGTGCAGGAAAGGTTGGGAGCACCCGCATCATTGAAGATAGCTATGTCAAGTCATGTTCGTAATGTTAGTTGCAAGGCATTGCTTGGTGTTCCTAGTGGTAGATGATTGCTTTCCCCCCCCGCAGCTAGCTGAGAGCACTAGGGCGTCAAATTATGTGAGACCAAAATTGACAGGTTGCTGCTGTAGTTTCACACCCTGCTGCTGAGACTTGCGCAGGGTGCTGTTGAAGGTTGGTATTGGCGCTTGCTGCTGCTGCTGCTGCTGCTGCTGCTGGTGCTGGTGCTGGTGCTGGTGCTGGTGCTGATGCGCAGCATGATTTTGAAGGGTGTTTCTGGCGAGGGGATCGGAGATTTGAACAACGGTTGAGTTTCGCTTGACCGTTGCGCCATGCTGAGTTGAAGCTCCGTTGCAGGGGCCGTTGTTGGATGTAGATGGTTGCGGAGCTGGTACCCACAAGTCGTGGGCGTTGGAATGGCTTGGCGATCTTGATGATTTTTGTTGCGTCTTGTAGCCAACCCAACTTGCTTATCAGCTCTTGTTCTGGTTTTGCAAAGAATTGAACGCTTAAGATGTCGAGCTCTAGTCGGCAGCTGTCAGTTTTGAGCTGTGCCCATGCTGCATGTTGGCCGCATGCTGCTGGGGCAGGGGCAGCAGGGCCCCGTCAGATACAGACAGAGACGAGAGCGCTTGAGTTCGGGGTTGGTTTACTCTCGCGCAAAATTTCACAGAAACAAATCATACCCACCAATGCTGTTTGTGAATGTGTGGCAGTATACGTGGCCTGGATGTTGTCTTTAGGCATGTCTTGTAGAGCCTGGCCTGCGTGGACGGGCCTTGTGGACCCGAGGGCCCTTGAGTCACCCTGGTGAAAAGAACCAAGCCCGCAATGCAAACTAGTAGCGGAGCAGGTTTCTGACTCTGGGCAGCGCAGAGCGGAATCCGTAACTACGCTATAGGGGCTCTAGCCGCCCCCATCTGAGACGCAGTGGTTCGTACATCTATGACGTTAAACCTGCGCAGCTTCATGACTGAGAGTTCAGGACGGCTCTTCGAGCACATGTGTACGAAGAAGGCCTGAAGGCAAAAGCCGCTCGTGGGGCGACCGCGTCGACCTGGAAGGAGACGGCGGGGCAGTCTTGCCCGAGGTCTGCGTGGAAGCCTCCGTGGACAAAGGATCACACTCGGAGCACGCGCGTTGAGTTGTCGAACCTCCCAAAACGCCGTTGTCCACAAAGTAATAATACTTCATGGCCAAAGTCAGATCCTTCAACATGAAGCTGGGCCGTCAAACCCTGCAAGATGTACCCTGCGTACTCCAAAGCCACCGCCCCACTTGATCACCTTGCTTCCCAAGATCCTCCGCCGTGGGCTCCTCCGCGTTGCACGCATGACAACAAGATCCGGCAACGGTTATGTAGGCAGCCGCGGTTCAGATTCCTTAAAGCCTCTTGTGCGCATTGCAACTCGCTTCCCTTCTTCTTCCTCCTCTTCTTCTTCCACGTCCGCTGCGCCGTTGGAGGCATCCATGGCAATACAGTTCTGATCACCTCTGTCTCCAGTGCCCAGGGAGAGACCCTCTTCATCAGCCTTGCAACAAAGGCTGATGGCGCAGGCCTCCCCAATGACCGTGTCCTCTACATCTCACACATTTGCTCTTCTTCTTCTTCAGCTCTTTCAAATTGTCACGGCACTCTCCCGCTCCAACGGAAGCCACCGACTCCAAAGGAACGCTTCCCTGATGTTCAGCACGGCTGGTTCCTCTTCATCAAGCTCAGTCTTCGCGCTCGTACTCCTCGAGCTGAAGCATGGACTGGAGAGCTATCCTCTTCTGCGAAGTTCCACTGGGCTCTTTTCCTCATAAATAGGACCGGGCAACCATTCGAATTGCTGGGGCCTGCGCTTGCGCTTGCCTTTGCCATAGCCGCTACCACCACTGCTGGGACCCAGCTTCCTTCAGGCGCACAAACCCGTGGCTATGCGTGCCTGTTCCACTTGTCGAAGGGACGCCCGCCCTCCAAACAAGCGCGACTGCGTGCTCTCACTCAGAGAAACGCTGGGGCCGATCTCCTTGAGAACCCTCGACAGGATGCTTTCGGATCGTTGTCGGGCAAGAGGACCATGAACTTGTTGCCCAACGCGAAACAGTTCTCGAGCTCTTGTTCGCCGTAGGAAGATTCTCTCACCTATCTTGTCGATCAACGTAGTGAGGCCGCCCGGCTCGGCAAGCGCATCAAGGCCTAAGTCTCGGGCAACCAGGAATGCTTGGCCGGTCGTTGTATGCGCATGACGCTGGTGAACGCCAACCTCGGCCGAGGGCAAGGTAAATTAGGAGTAAAAGTGTAGGGCGCGCACCAACTACACACGCAGGTTCCACAGCATACAACGTTTGGAAGAATTGCAGGGACTGAGCAACATTGATTTTCGAGGGGGATTAAGGAGAGCGCCTCGGCACCTAAGATGTGCTGCAGTTTCACTGATGAGATGCCCATGGACAGGAAGATGGCTTTGCAGGCGGCAGCAAAGCAGGTTCAGCAGGCAAATGACGAATCAATTCCCCTTGCAGAAAGCCTGGTGACAACAGAAAATGTTTTCAACTGTGATTCATGAACAGCTTGAGGCCCCAGATGCGTTCTCTCCCAAACTGCGCACCATGCTAAGGGATGATGTCATCGAAGCCTGGGGGGACGGGGCGGAAGATGAGCCGCACGTTTGGGGCGTATTAGATGAGGTGCAGTCCAAGCATTGGGCCAATTACCTGCGGACGCCTACATCCTCGTCAGGAAGCCCGTTTTGCGAAAGCGGTTTGACTTCTAATGCCCTCTTTCCCGCTTCTATGTACACCCAGTGAGCGGTGGTGTCGACCCAGTCCTCACCATGCATGTTGGTCACTGCCTTTACGCAAACTTGTCGACAGGTGAAGCCGCAATCGGTGAGATGTTGCGCCGTTTCCTCATAGGATCTCGCGAGGTCAAGGCCTTCCAGTACTGCGGCAAGCAGAGATCAAGTCAGGAAGGAAGCCTCATGAGGCAGCGCCGGAAGAAGAACTTCAACAACTACGGCCGCTCGTCAGGGACTCCCCGAAAGGCTGTACCGCCCCTCGCAGAGCATAGTCAAGGAGGCAAAGGTTGCGACTGCGCAGTTTGCCCTGGAAGACGAAGGCAACTCCATTTACGTCTTGTGGAATGATTTGGGTTTGTTGACCGCAACGACGATGCCATCGTTGCGAACGAGGAAAGTTACAAATCGCTGCAGGGGCGGATCCATGTCCTGATCCCAGGAGACCAAGCCAGAGACCCTAGATGCTCGTTGTTTGGTGTGATTCCCTTGTTGTTTGGTTCATGTACGATCAAGCGCGTACGCAGGGCAACTCGCAAACTGGCGTTGAGCTTTCTGAGCGTCTACGAACTTTGATTGCGCTTTACTTAGAACAAGCTTAAGGACTTGGCTGCCTGACAAAATGCTTCCAGGCACCTGCTCGAACATGCTGGAGAACCGAAGGCTGCGGACAAGCGTCTCGCATTGAGGTGACCAGGTGGCCTCGATCAGGCAGAATCTGTGGTCGAGTGAGGGAATGATGACAACGACTGCGGATCCTGGCAGAGGCGCAAGTGGATCGGAACAATGGTGCCAAATCTCCTAACTAAGGCCATGAAGTCCGACCTGTTGCGCAGGGTCTGCAGACGCGTGCCGCGTTTTGAATGCATGTATAGAATCGATTATCACAGGATGTGGCAAGAGTTTAGCACGACAACAGTAGTAGGTTGAGTGACAATACCAGTAGCAGGTTGAGTGTGAATGTGTGGTAGTTTGCGTGGCTCCTTGCCTGGATGTTGTTTTTATGCATGTCTTGTAGAGCCTGACGCGTGTGGGCGTTTGTGGGCTTTGTGGACCAAAGGCCCTTGAGGCGAAAAGAGCCAAGCTCACACTGCGTATTTCTTGCCGCCCAAACTGTTCTTGCAACTGGGGGTTTGTACTGGTTTAATTAAATTCCAAAGCACCAGTCGGCTTGATCTGGCATTCCGCACGATGAGGCCACAACAGCTGTACCCTCCTCAGTTTGCCAAGTGTGTGTGCGCGCGTGTGTGGTGTTGTTCGGAGAGAGGCACCCGCGTTCAAACATCAAGCATCAATGGGAGCAATGGCCGGAACCCCCATGCCGCACATGTTTGTCCGAGCTGCCGGTTTCTTTCAGCTGGGCTCGTGTGAATGAGTCGCTCCAGCCTGGCGGAGAGAGAAGGTGCATATGCTTGAGTGATAGCATTCCTTTCGGCGGGAGTGTTGTGAGCTGTGCTGCCCAAGTTGTTCCACCAACTTGGCATAGCAGCTCACAACTCGGCATAGCAGCTCACAACTCAGGATTCTCAAATCTCGAGTTGAGCAAACTGGCATCCTGCGAGCCATACACATCCGAAATCATCCAAACATAATCGTTTTTCCCATGGCCGGGGTCGGATACGACCCGACGCTAGGCCGCTGTGGTTGCCTTCTGCCTGCGCCAATGTGCAGCTCAACGCTGGCCGCAGTGCAGCTCTTGCCGTCTCGCCGGCAGAGATTGAACCCGCTTTTCAGCAAACAAAACAACTGACCACTTCACCCCAAAAAGAAAGAAACAAACAAACACCTCACCGCCAACAAACACTAGGATGGGACACGTGAGCAACCCGGTTTGCCAAGTCGCACAGGCTCGGCTGGTTTTGAGGGCTGCGTTCATTGCTCGTGTTCCAAAATTTGCGTCAGGGCGACTTAACAACTGCGACCTGCACCAAGAGAAGCTGCGGGAGCAGCTGTTGCCAGCAGTAGGGCCCTCAGCCACAAGGGCGTGCACTTTCTTGCGCTACAAGCCAATTGACGGAGCCCGGTAGCACGAGAGAGGGAGAGAGAGGGAGAGAGAGCCAACTGGCGGACAGCAAGCCATTCCTGGAGCCCAACCTGGCAAAACACTTTGGCTTTGCGGATGGCCCTGTGAAGTTCATCAACAGAGTTGTGATGGCCACAGTTGTCATGCTCCGAAGACGTAGAAGGTTGGCATTGGTTTGACGAACATCTTTCAGGCGATTCCTGACGGCACCTGTGCCTGGCAGCTTTGGGATGGGCTAGCACGTCTTGATGCTGAGGAGGCGTGAGACAGCTCCTGACTCCTGAGTCGCGTGTCACATGATTCTGGGACATGGCCATAGGTTAGAGGTTAGAGCCGCCGGGACGGCCTTGGTTTAGTTTAGACTCTCTCGCAAGCCACACGGGGCCCGGGGAATTGCTTGCTTGTGCTGTTCTTTTGTTGAAATTTTGCGAGGACCTTCGGAGCTTTCAGGGCCCTCGCAGTGGCCGTGTCCTGGTGCTTGTGGCAAAGGCCCTGCCCGGGTTTGCAGACCCGTGTTTGCAGATTCTTTGCGACGCCGGTGTCGATCCAGTCAATGGTGGGCCATCAGGTCTTGGCTGGATGGTTCTGAATGGGCGGGTGCTTGGTGAAAGATGGTGAAAGCTTCCTAGGAATGCGCATGTGTCCCACCGGGGATGCTTAACTCATTCCCACGCCCCGCGGCCGCGCGCAATGCGTCAGCCATAAGCTGACACCACTTTAGCACAGGTTTCAGTCAGTGAGATTGGTGCCCCGTTCCGTTACACGCCCATGCCACGGCCAGACATCCTGGGCACTGCATTCGTGAGGTGGATCCAAAGAGTCCTCCCTGCTCGGGACTGGAGCTCCGGCCTCGGTGTGCTGCGCGGCAGCAAGGTTGGCACCGGCATACGCGGGGGCAGCCCGCTTTGGGGGGAGTCCCTTCACATTGCTTGAATCCTAGGAGCTAGCAGTGCTGCTGATGTTGACGCATTTGTGGAACAGATATAGGATCATGTTTGGTGACTCCAGGCGTGTGATGCAGACTTTTGACCCAAACCGACCTTGCTACCCCGACTTCAACGCGACGCTAGTTTCGACAGTGTCTCTATGGGTAAACGACCTTCTTATCGGGGGAAACAAAGTGAACAACTCAGACGCGAGCGCGTCCGCCTTTCGACTGGTGCGCAGCCTTCAGCTCAAACTTTGCGTGAAGGCTGTGTACAATGAAGTTTGCCGTAGCCGCTTGGCTGCACTGACATCAGAATTGAGCTGTTGGCTCGCAAACACCACTTAATGCTCGTAACTGCGGGCCCCAGGGATGGCATTGCTCTGAGGTGCTTGCGTGCCTGGCTGGCCTGGTCCATGCTGGAAACATCAAGAGGACCAAACCCCCTATTCGCGAGTGCCACGGACAGCTTGAAGGCTCCTTTCTGAGAGTCCTTCTGCTTCGGAAGGGGCAAGCAACGCACCCCATTTTGGCGACTCGAAATGTGTTTATCCTTTCGAGTGTGTTTTTTTTTTTGCGGAAGCACATCTTGGCAGATTCTGCTGGGTTTGTAGCCAGATGTTGTCCTACCTGGCTAAAGTATATTTCAAAAAAACTGCCTTTGGCCTGAAGGAGGGTAAACCATAGCGCTCTCCTACGTGCGCAGCCACTTATGGTAGAGGACCTGGCAGTGCTTTGGCAAATGAGTCTAATGCTTGCGGAACGCTGTGTGCGGACACAGCTAAGAAGAAGACTGCACAGATTCAATCTCGTTGGCAAAGTCCTTTGAGCCAGGGAAGCGAACTGCTTGCAGTGTTTTCCGCCCAGTTTGCCACTGACCAGCCTGATAACAAGTCCGTCGCCCAGAAGGCTGAGAAGGCCGAGAAGGCGGATGAGTCATGTGCTGCACTTGTAGGCTGCAACAATCTTCGGGCTCGAAGAGGTGCTGCAAGTGATGGGTTGTGCTGGGTTCGTCGCAGGTGGCACCTCCCAAGACCAAGGCGGCTGATGCCAATGCAACGGCTGGTGCTAAGCTGGAGACTAGCCTTTTGGCGGAATGAAGCATGCCTCGCGTTTTTCTTCGCAGCGGGGCCGAGGCACCACCCTGGCGGTCTACGATGCTCCCTCTGCGAAAGTGGAGGCTTGGGGCGCAAAGAGCTGAAGACTCCAGGGGGGGGGAGGTGTTGCGGAGTGGGGAGGTGCGGAGTGGGGAGGTGTGGGGTGGGGGGGGAGGCAAATGCTTGAGGGAGTGCAAGTTTGCTCCTGCTTCAAGATTTGATCACGCGCGGAGCGACCAGTCAGGCCCCAGCAGCTGGTACAGATTCCCGGCTGCAGTATTTGCGAGTGAGGCAGGTTAGGCCGAATGACATGGAGCCGGAAGCAGGGCAGTATTTTGAGAAGCGAAATGTTCACCTGTCCTTGCACCACTTGCTTTGTAAGGGCGACTTTGGGCAGTACTTGCCCAAGTGCCGCGAGCAGCTGAAGGCTTTGGTGAAGAAGGCGTGAGGGCCACCCTTCAGCCAATGTAAGCAGAATCATGCTTTGTAGCCAGCCTTGGCGTTTTTGAGTGAAAGCAATGCTATCTATAACCCTGGCATGGAGACATAGTTCACAACTTAGAAACAGGGAGGCAAGGGGTGCTTCAGATCCGACTTTGTTGATGGCAACACCTTGCTTCAGGAGGATGCGATTCAAACAAAGAAACGGATTTCGAGGCCGAGGCCGCTTCTCGTTGGAATCACGACCCCTGACAAGTCGGCCTCTTATCCTGAGGAAGGAACTTTCTCAGTTGGAATCACGACCCCTGACAAGTCGGCCTCTTATCCTGAGGAAGGAACTTTCTCAGGAATCCTTCTTTGTAAGTTGATTTCCTGGCGAGTGCGCAGGCTGAGACACACTACACCAACCGTCAGTTGGTGGTGGCGCTAACTCAGGAGTGCCGCCCAGCAGAGTTAGCACTGGCAAGTGGGATCTCTCAGGAGCATGATGTTCACGCAGAAGCAAGCCGGTTGTGGTGAAGCTATTGTCCCCGACCTTTCAAGGGTCCAAAACAGCACACACTTGGGGTGAGCATGCTGGTAGCCCACAATTGGCATAAGTTCTCTCTGAGGTGACTTGGACAAGGAGTTCCCAACCGTGAGGAGCGTCTTCTTCGATCGCCACCGTGACTGTCAGAAGTTTGCCGTGAAGCTGGGTGCAGCGCGGGATGCTGACATGAAGGGTGCTGCCAATGCCTATGACGAGTCTTGCCCCCAGTCACACTGTGTCAACCCTAGCTGGGTCAGCACCTCCGTTGGCAATCATGACTAATTAGCCAATTGAGCAGCGTTGTTTTTCTCAAATGATGGATTTTAGCTTCGTGGGGAACTCCCAAAAGGTCCGCGAAGGCACTTGTGTGATACATTGTTTACCGCGAAGCCCCGCGAAGCCCCGCGAAGCCACTTCGCGTAGCCCGGTAACATTGACACAGGCGAAGCCACTTCGCGAAGCCACTTCGTGGTTTGAGTGTGTTGCGTGCTTTCATGGCAAGTGTGTTGTGCGCTTTCATGGCAGTAGTATTCCAAAGGTTGATGTTTAGAGTCAGCAGGCTACGACAAGATTACAGGAAGATTACGGGAAGACGACCGGAAGAGCACTGTGCGTTTCAGGCCCGGTTGCTAGAAACGATGGAACGTTTTCGCGGAGCCTCTGCGAAGCCCCCGCGAAGCCCCCGCGAAGCCTCCGCGAAGCCACCGCGAAGCCACCGCGGTCCAACTTCCATGCTCCGCCCCTTTGAGGCTCAGCCATGTCCCCTAGTCCTGAAGCTCAATGCCTCTCTTGCCGCCTTTCATCGCCCCCTTTCGCATGGACTCAACTTGATTCAGCAACATGGGAGCGCAAACGTCAGAGATGTTTGTGGGACAAACATCCGCGAAGCCCGGCGAAGCCACTCCGCGAAGCCACAGTCTTGCTGCGAAGCCTCGCGAAGCCAACCCTTCCACAAATTCTGGCCCCGCGAAGCCCCCAGCGTAGCCTCCCCAGCAGTGTATAAGCTGTGAACCTCTAAAAAAAACAATGCTCAATTGTTGCTGGAATTGAACTCACACAGATGTGGGCAGGGAGGGAGCGTGCAGCATTGACTTCACAGGTTTGCCAGTAGCTCGTGCGGGCAGCAGTTACCTCATGAAGAGTCAGGGCTTTTGAAGCACACCCGTTTTGTTTCTCGTGAGTTTTTGAGGTGCTGCCAGACTCTGTGGGAAGAGCGCTCGCAGGCCAGCGGGCAGCTTCCAACCCACCTGTTTTGCATTTGAGTTTGCTTGCGCCAAGACAAATCCCAGAAACTGGGTCGAAAAATCACAAAGTCAAGGGGTGAGAAGTTCTCAGGCACCAGCTGCCGGCATGGGCATGGCCACCCTCCTGGCCATGGCCATTTTGTTGCAGACGCCTGGCAGTTAGGGGAAGTGCTGGGGCCGTGGCTCCCAGCGCGGCTGGGCGCCATTGGATTGCAGCATTGTTGGGCCATGTTGGGCCCTTCTCCACGAGTTTGGAGTCGCCAAGGATGTGAACAAGTGCTGACAGCCGCCGCAACGGTCCGGCTGAAAAGGAAAGTGCGAGAGCCGCAGGGGGCCATTGGGAAGGGCGCAGTTGCTCGTTGCATTGCTTTCCTTGGGTTTTCAAGCAACATCTTGCAAGGTTTTCGTCGTCGTTTGGGTGTAGTCTATTTGTCAGGGAGCTTTGCATTGGGCTAGCTTGCCACCGGGTGGCCGAACCGCCAAGCCCACAAAGCTGCGCTTAACAGTTAAAACAGAGGACACGTCAATCTGCGTTCTTTGCGCAGGGCCTTTTACAAGCCGGCGCAAGATTTTGAGCCCGAGGTGCCAGCGCTGTGCTGTGCTTGCAGACGCCCAGCCTGAAACTGCGGCGCTGCGCGCGGGGCTCGAAGAAAGGCGTGTGTGGCTTCCAGCTCCTGTGATGTGACACGCCGGCTTGATTCTTGAAGGTGTGCAAGCGTAACCTGGGAGTTTCAGCATGCATGGCCAGCAAGAAACGTTCTGAACATCATGAGCACCAAAGGAAATAACGCGGATTTCCGCGGTGACGCCTTGGCAAAGTGTTCGTCACGGGACCCAACAATGTTTTTGCGCTCAGGACGGCGGCGACACTTTTGGCGCCCGCATCCCAGACATAACACGTTTTCGAGACGGCGCCGTTTGCAAAGCCACGGTAGCAGTTTGTGCCACAGGAGTTGAAGGAACATTTGAACAAGTCTAACAAACTTGCATAAGAACAAGAACGAGAGCAGCAGCCGCCGCCGCAGCCGCAGTCCCAAGCAGGACAACAACCACAGCAACAACAAGCAACAGCAACATCAACAGCAACCACAACCACAACAACAACAACAACAACAACAACAACAACAACAACAACAACAACAACAACACCAACAACAACAACAACAACAAAAACAACACCAGCAGCAGCAGCAGCAGCAACAACAACAACAACCACAACAACAACAACAACAACAACAACAACAACAACAACAACAACAACAACAACAACAACAACAACAACAACAACAACAGCAGCAGCAGCAGCAGCAGCAGCAGCAGCAGCAGCAGCAGCAGCACCAACAACAGCAGCAGCAGCAGCAACAGCAACAGCAACAGCAACAGCAACAGCAACAGCAACAACAACAACAACAACAACAACAACAACCAAAAAAAACGACAACAACAACAACAACAAAACAAAAACCACGGCAACGGCAACAGCAACAGAAACAGCAACCAGAACCACAACCACAACCAGAACGACGACAAAGATGACAACCACAACGACAACAACCACATCTAGAACGACAATGGCAATGGCAACAACTAACAGAAAACGACAACAAGGCGACAACGAAAACACCAAGAGCTACCAACAACCAACAATCACAACAACGCGCGAGACCTTGGCAAATTGTTTAACAAATCGAAGATCGCCATGGGATAACAACTTGATTGGAGATGGTTAGGTCCTCCTAAGATCTCGGCAGGTGATCTAGGTTTCGCACATCGTATAATATGGCTCCGGGAGCCGGACGCATGCAAAAAAGTTTTAAATGCTGATCGTATGCTTTGAACAAACAGCTTTGATAGGTGAACAGAGGAGCCCTAAGGATCCAGAGAAAGGCAGTTGCCAGCTCCCATCGTGCTGGAGTTTCTTCTTTGACAGAGATCCCAAGTAATAACTCCGAAACCTGCATATTAGAATGGCCAGGATGTTCTAGCATAGCTAGCTTGCAGCTGGTTTGGAACACAGGCCTGAAGCGTGGTGCCTTCCTCCTGAGGCGCGCTTGAGATTGTGAATTTGAAATGCTGCGTAAATATGGTGGCCGAAAGGTGATTCTTGCCTGCTGCAGCCAGGTTTGTCGCTTCACGCATGCAAAGTATTGCACAGTTGCATGAATATGTGCATGGTTTGCAAGCCAGGTTCGGGCAATGCACTGAGCCAACCGGGCTTGTTATGTTCCTTCAAAGGCTGCGCGCTCAGTCATATTGTGCGTGAGTCGCTTGGGAAAGCTTTTGTTAAAGCAAGGTGTCGGAGATTGTTCGTCTTTTGGTCAGGAAGTTTCAGATGTGCACCGACGCGCAAAAAGCTTGGTTTGTCGGAGACGTCATGCACTGAGGATTTGCCCAGAGGTGGCATTTCATCTCATTGTGAGCTATTTGTGACGCATCTGCCGTCGCACCCAGCTCGCTTCACACAAACAAAAAGTGAGTACGCTCAGAAAGCTTGAGACTGCGCAAGCCACCAACAGTGACGCTCTCAACTGCTAAATGATACAATGACGCCTTTGCGTTGAGCGCTTGCTTGCTCAAGACTATGACTAGGCGACCCCGGCAACCGCCGATGACATGAATCAGCAGCATCTTCATTTGCTGTGCGTCAGAAGCATTATTATTGGTTCTTCATCCCTGCTGCAACAAATTCGGAGTGAAAGCTTATCGACCACGAGCTTTGCCTTGCAGACTTCCCCAAAGGACCTCAGCCGTGCTCATTGACCCAACCAGCCTCGCCAGCATGCCACAAAAGAGATGGCTCGACTCAGCCATTTCATAGCCCCCCTCACGAAACTTCAGAAAGCAAAGGCGAGGAACCGCGAGCCATGTGACAGCGGCTGGTATGGAAGACCGCAGCTTGGACATGTGTTGAGTTGCTGCCTCAAGGAGCCGCTTTGCCAACCGCTGGTGTCAAGTTAAGTTGGGTGTTGGGACACTCATTGGTTTGCCCAACCCTTTGGTTTGGGATAGGGAGAAGGCAGAGTAAATCGAGACAGGTGCATAAAGACTTTCACCGGCTGGCTCGTTGCCAGCAAAATTTGCCTAGAGCTTGGGTTGGGAAGGTGGGGCGCGGGCAGAGAAACACACACACACACACACACACACATTGGCCCTCCTTTCCTTGAGGCAATGTGGCCAAGAATCCTGTCTCAGATGAAGAGAAGCAGCGCCTTGGCTGATATTACTGGGTACTTCTGTTTTCGTTCAACGGTAGTTGAGGCATGATTCGAGATTAAACAGCTGGGATTAAGCAGGTTTTAGTGGGTACCCACTTTGACCCACAGCCAGTTCGCTTTTGCTAGTGGGTGGCAGGCTTTTGCGACGGCGTTTGATTTTGGGGCAGCCATGCAGGACTGGTTCAGCATACACCAGACAAAGGTATTCTCAGATCCTGAGCAGTTTTGTCGCTGAGCTTTGCCGATTTGAGGACCTTGTTGCAACCCAGGGCAACCCATGAATTCGACCCAATAAAACCACATCTGAAGTCTTCGCGCCCACAGGGTGCTCCGGAACTTCGTCGCCCGTGAGGCTACGCAGGAGGATGGGAAAGAGAAGCAAGCACAAACACACGGATGGCGTGTGAAATTTGTACCGGGTTTTGAACAAATAGCTTCACACAGGATGTTTGTTTGGTGGATGCTGACCCAGCTCGAGCCAGTGAGCAAGTTGGCAGGAGCGGGATGGCTTCCTGGTCAAGAATTACAATTTCTTGAACCACAAAGCCAGAGAAGTTTTTATGGACGCCTGGCATGTGAGATTCGGTCCTTGTGAGGCAACTGGGACCACTAAGTTTCACGCGTCGATTGTTTGTGGCTGCGCGTTTGCGGTGGCACATGTCCTGTCCAGTTGAATGGGTGAGTTTGTGACGTTGGTGAGCATGGCAATTCTTGCGGCAGCACACTCCCGCCATCATGGGCCTGGCACACTCAGGACATGAGTGCGACAGATCAGCAGGAATCTGAGATGTTGAGCCAAATCTACAACCTCACACGAGCTCGTCGTCCGTTGCCAGTGGCAGACAGATATTATGTTTGTCCTCCATGTGTGTAAAGGCATGTAAAGACACCCGGTGATCAGCAGAGCTTTTAATGTCGGGCACTTCGGTGCCCAGCTGACGTCGCGCAGAATCTTGCAGGTTTCGTGTCATCTTTGACGGGCAGATGAAGGAGGGCAGAGATCCTGCTGCCACCTCGATTGAGCACTGTGGCATGCGCGCAGTTCAAATTCTTCGCACACCGTCATGGAACCTGGTGGAATTCCCCAAAATGTCGCACATTGTTCACAGGTCCTGCGTTCGCAGTGTGCCATGTTTGCCATTTGTGCTCCTTTCCCAGGTGGAGATCCTTTACGCCCGAGTGAAGAAGCGCCCACCTCAAAACCGGGCCGGTTCGCCGGTTCGGGGGTTGGCTGCATGGTCAGGCACCGGCCATTGCCGGGGGCGGGGGGAGAAATGAGATGGAAGGGTGACTTGGGGGCAGTGCCACTTCAGGTTTATGGACATGGAATGCGACCCAAGGTTTATGGACATGGAAAACCAGCTGCGCGCGCTCTCAACCAGCCTGCGCCCCGGAACTGTCGAACCAAGCTGGGTGCGCATGAGTTCGCCCCACACCTTGGAGTACAAATCCCAAGATCTGTGTGTAGGCTTTGGGAAGTAAATCGTTTTGTTGTTTGGCCCTTCTTCGTTTGGCTCTCGCTTTTGGACCGTTTGCGCTCTTTGCCAGAGGCTTGTGTTGGCGAAATCACCCTGAAACAAGATTGCTGTGGCGCCTGCAAACCAACCACTTTGTCGCATGCCCAAAGAAAAGACTGCGCAATACTTTGAGGAGGCCTAAACGTCTCACCTGGTTCAGTTGCTTCTGCGAAACAAGCCATTTGGCTTTTCCACCAGACTCCTAGCGGAAAACCAAGAGAGAAAAAACCCAAATCAATTCTAAACCTTTCCTCAATCAAGCTTAAACTCACCGTAAATCTGCCTTTCTCCACCCAGGTGTACAACACACGAGCGAGATTGCATGTGTGACCGTTTTCGTGAAGCAACTGATGTTTTGTGCATATGTCAGCCCTGGGGCATCCCATCTGTATAAAAAGGCAGCAGAGCACCAAAGTCACAAGCAAGATCCCAACTCAGATCTCCACAGGCCGATTTCACGATTCCCGACTCGAGGAACGGGAAAGGAGGAGGTGAAGACAAAGAAGCAGCCCAGTAAGAAGATGCAGGACTCCATATGACTCCATGGATCTTTCACAATTGTCCTGCCAATTGGCAATGGATTTGGTTGGAGAGGGATGCCGTTTCAGGAGCTATCAGTGCGAATAGCACACTCATTGTCCAATCCGACCTATGAGGAGGCGCGCTTTTGGCCGGGGCGATGGCCTTCTGATTGGAAGCACACCGACCACTGATCCTCAGTAGCGGCGCCAGAAGTGTTTTTTGCTTGGCCCAGCTTGTGTTGTCTCGGGTTGGGCACATTCAGATCAGGATTGCCATTCTGGACCCAGATTTGCCCAACATTTGAAGTGTGGAAAAGGCCCAAGATTACTCTTCCTTTGGGGCAAACGGAAGAGAATGGCGCAATTAGCATGCAGATGCATGCTTCCTTGGGTCCATTTTGTGTTGACGGGTCCGATTTCCAGCCAACCCGAAGAGGTTCAATTGCCCAGGTCCCTGCACACGAGCGCCGCTGCGCTGGGGTCAACCAGAAGTTGGAGGACTGGGACCGAATTCTGACCGCGGCGTCAGAATCTCGAGGCTTGATGTAAAGCCTGTATCGGGTGGATTCGCGCGCATGATGTGTCTCTGTATTTTTTGGTGCCTGTCGCAGGATCGCGCTGGATCTTGCGTTGGCTTGCCGTGGCCTTGCGAATCCGTGTGTGTGTGTGTGTTGCCGCGCTGTACGTTTTGTTTGTCTCTGTGCTTTTGCGTGCATTTACGTTTGTCTTTGGGTATGTGCTTGTCACGCTTCTCATTGCATGTGAGCCCTTGTGCGCACCAGCCTATTCGCATGCGAGTGAGTGCGGACACATTATGTGTTTGCTCGCGTGCGTGTAGGCGTGTGTGAATGTGCATGGTTGTGCAATGAGAATGCCAATGCCTGTGTGTGTGTATGTGCGTGTGCGTTTGCACTCATGCACCTGTTTGTGTTTATTGTCATGTGTTTGAGTTGTTGTGTGATGTGTTTTGGTTTTGTGTTTGTTTGTTTCCTTGTTTGTTAGCTTGTGTGTGTGTGTGCGTGTCGGTGCGTGTGCTTGTGCGCTTGGTGTGCGAGCTTGTGTGGCTTGCACATGTAGGTGGAAGCCGGTGCACAGACTGTCAAATTCGAGCATGTTGGATGATTTCATTAGATGGTTTCATGCCTGGACTCTCCATATTTTGTTTGCTGCATGCAGCTTGACCCTAACCCTGGTTCTGGTCATTCCAAAATGACCATATCCATGCCCACGGGCACCCGATCAACCCAGAATAGACCAAAGAGTTCAAGCGCGCAGCAGTTTTGACAGAATTGTGAGTCCCTGCCGAAGCGAGTTCCAGGAGTCAAAAAGCTCCACTGAGCTTTGGAGTGTGTTTTCTGCTTCCCTGAAGCGAGAGGCGGCGAATCCATGCACAGCACCAGAAGCATTGAGAGCAGAGCACTTATCGTCCATCCAACGAAGCCACATAGCCCCTCATGAGCCGGGTACCGAGCGTGTTGTTTGTGTACAGCAGGTTAGTAGGGTTGCGTTGTGTTGTACTGTGTTGCGCATTGTGTTTGCGCTGAACAAGCGCGAGCAAAGAACACTTGAGCCACAATCAAAACCTGGGTAGATGAAGGTTAGTAAGGGATGATCCCAGCCATAAATAGCTGCGGCCGCCTTCTTAGTTAATTGCATGGGTCTGGGTTCATCATTTTTGTGCCAGGTTTTGATTATGGCTCAGACTCACTTGTGTTTCGTTGTTTGTGTTTGTTGTCAGTATCATGGTGTTGCTGCGTCAATGAGCCTTTATGTCCTTGTGTGGGTTTCCAATATGTTTTCTCGTCTTTGGTTGTGTCTTTCTTTGCGCTCATGTGCAGCATGCCCATTTGTTACCGCAAGGTCTTAAACACAAGTGTGGTTGATTTCTCTGGGTGTGTTTACGTGCACACGTGTGCCAAGTGACTGCGCAGGTAAGGTTTAGGGTTTGGGGCTATACCTTGGGCGCTTTCGAAGCCTTCTTTGCCGGGCGATGTTGAGGACGATATCAAGCCAAAAGTTCTGGAAGGCAGCGGGACCTTTGCATTCGCCGCGACTTTGGGTGAAGATGCATTTTGTTTGCAGTCTTCGCCTTGTACGGACTTGTTTCGGCCAGGCACGGTCAAAGGTGTGGGCGGCGTCATAGAGGCGTTGCAGAAGAAGTGACCTGCGTTGAGCGCGTTGCGTTGATGCTTGGCCTCGGTCGCAATACTGGGGTCAGGTATGCGATGATCAAGGGCGAGAGGTTGCGAGTTGTGAATGAGACAAAGGACCTGTGGAAGCTTGAAGGCTTAAAGGGGAGTTGCACACAGAATTTGGGCACAGCGACATGGGCCTTGCTTCACTGTGCAGGTGAAAAGACGATCCCAAAGTGCCAAGTGAACACAGGCGGCAATCCTGCGTCTTCTTTTGCAAAGCAACTACTTGCCAGAAGCCAGCTGCAAACAGCTTGAAAAAGAACTGCCGCGCAGGCTGGAAATGGGTCATCAAGGGTGCCCAAGATGAAGAAAAGAAGAAGGCGGAGGAAGCGGCAAGGAAGAAAGCTGCCAAAGAGGAGGCCCCAACCTACCCAGAAGATCACAGTGGTCGTTCGTTTCAGTTTCTTTTCCCCGGCTGGCTTATTTTGCCCCAGCCTGCACCAATGCCATGTTTACAGACTGCCGGTTGAGCAGTGATGTGTAGAAGCTGAAGGCTGAGCCGCATGCGCCATCAGGAGGCCAGGAGAAAGGAGGCCGAAGCAGCAAAGAGACCTGCCAAGCAGCCAGATTCCATATGCTTGGTGGGACCGCGTTGGAATATATGTGAGCCACAACCTGCCAAGATGACGTAAAGCAGGGTAGCCTTCGAACAACCAAACCGATGACATATATACAAATATATACCGGCAAATATATAGCTATATTATATATATATATATATATATGTATATATATATAAACATTAGCCACGCACAAAGGTGCCGCGGAAATGCCGCGGAATATTTACAGGAAATGTGCAAAGAAAGCTGCACTGACCAGGTTGAGCAAGCTCATGCCCAGCCATGTGTTTTGACCACTGCTCCTGTCCATGCGGGCCATGCCCTTGCCTGTTCGGCGCAACCATTCCGAGATCAGAATCAGACATAGCAGAGTAGCGTCCTGCATGGGCCCCAACAATCCAAGAAAGTTCCAACATAGCCTTTGAGCATACCCCAAAATGCCCACGAAAGTAATCCTGGCGGGAGGGACAGAGTATGGCCGCAAAGTATGATGAAAAGCTCTTGGACACTGACATGCTGGCATGCGCGGCTGAGCCAAGGAAGAGTGAGGAGACGAAGGAGGCTAAGCCCAAGGAGAAGGAGAAGGGCAAGAAGGAGAAAGAAGTGGCCAAAAAGGCGGAGAAAAAGAAGGAGAAGGAGCCGAAAGAGAAGAAGGAGAATGCAAAAGAGGCCAAAAGCAAAAAAGAAGATCATGGAAAAGGCCTCATGGGGAACACATTTGCTTGGATTGCTTTATTTTGCATTTTGCAGGATCACAGTTCAGAGCATGCATGATGATGCTCCAATGCTTCAAGCTGGCCCAGCCAAGGCCGAACGGCTTCAAAATCCAAGCGGAAAAGGTCATCAGACAGCGAGGCCAACACTCGGCAGCGGCACAGATTTGGTTGCAAGCATCATTGCTTTTTGAGTTTGCGGCGGCATGCATGAGGTGCCATTTTTGGTTGCATCTCTCACGCCACTTTCTGACCCTCAACAGAGCACATTGTAGTGGGTCCATTGGAACATGCCAGGCAGAAACCGATTCGGAATCCAGAAAGAAGTCAAAGGCCTCCAAAGAGAGGAAAGCCAAGAGTAAAAAAAAGCGAAGGAGCTTCTTGGACTGTGGTTGGCCAATCCCGCGTTTTCAAAGTTTTCACACAGCTTGCAAATCACCGGTCGGTTTCTGTGCTTCTGAACCAAAGCGAAAGAAGGTCATGAGTCTTGAGCGTTACCCCTGCGTGCATCCCAGGCTCTGACGGCTCCGACAGCTCCGAGGAGCAAATTTCATGCCGCATCTCGCGCCGAGTGGTGACCCCGGTGGCTGTTCTGCTTGTTCCCGGCTGGCGATGTCATCGCCTTTTGGGACTCTGCTGACCATGCCGCACCAGGAGTCGAGAGAAAAGAAGGCACCTGGCCGCAAACCGCTATGCCAAGCGGCACAAGAGTTTGCTTTCAAGTGATGCCTCCATTCATTGCGCCCGCAGGCGCGCAGCAAGTCTCGCAGGAAGAAGTGATCGCAGGAGTCATTAGCCTGTCATTATGCACACGTTTGACTGTGGGATGCGCAGAGCTCGTGCTAAAGCATGTTCTCCTGGGCGCATTCGATGTCCGTCAAACCCGCCCAGCCCATACCATTCAGAGCCAGCCTTCCATGGGCCACTGCCGAAGTTTCACATTTTGACCAATGTCGAGACAGAGACAGCGGGAACTATGGTGAAAAAACAAGGTGATGTTAATTCACAAGGTTGCTTTGTCGTGAGCAGCTGTGGCATGTGCGTTGCGGGGCCAGTGGCACCTTGGCCTTTGTGCGATGTCCGCAGTGAGCACGCCAAATTAGTGAGGCGACACAAAACCAGACGATAATCCTGCAAAAGGCAACACACCAGAGCATACTTGCAGTGTCCGCACATTTCAGTGGCGGCAGAAACATATGGGAAACAACCACGTTTTTCTTTGAAGAAGGGTCGCAAGAATGATCAACCATTTTCTGGGCAGACAAACGGCCAACCTTGTTATGCAATAAGCAGGCAGGAAGCATAAAGCATAGGAAGCCTCAGTCACGGCAGCTGTTGCTTTGGCCGCACAGTTGAGGAGGCACGCAAAACGTCGTGCTAGATTTCCCCGTTGAGTCTGCATGGCGAGAGGGAGTTAGAGTGAGAAGTGTCAAGCACACCGCGCAGAAGATGTGGGCGCTGAAGCGCTACTCTGAGCCCTCGGTTGAGGCAGGGAGCTCGGCAAGGCCGCCATTTTGGTTTGCCGTGGGTAGGGTGGGCCAGGCTCGCAGAAACCAGCAATGTTCCTGGTGTTCAGGATGCAAAGCTTTGGCTTCAGTTTGAAGCCCACGACTCTGAATTTGCGGTGGGCATATCTTTAAGTTGTTGCAAGGGCAGGATCTGCAAGCAAGCCTTACGTCACGCAATGTGATGATGTGCAAGGATCATGGCATGCAGCTGGAACGGCATGAACATAAAGTTGCAATGACAACGATGCGGAGTTGTGCTATTGCATGCAACTAAGATGGCATGCACTGTGCCAACACGCAGATCAGCGCATGATCTTCGGTCTGAATTGTGTTTGGTCTTAAGCAGCCCTTCGACTTGCTTCACATGGACTGGAGGCTCATAAGTGTAAGTCTTGGTTGCCACATCAAGTCATGCGAGACAATGCTGTTGTGTGTCGTTGGATGCAACGGCAGAGAGAGAGGGAGAGAAATGCTGTGCGTTCCCCTGGGTAAAAATGCCAGACGAGGCCACAGCCCCTCGTGCGCCGCTGGGCAGCCCGTGGGAGCCCCATTTGGACCTGCTTGCAAGCCCTGGACGTGTGAGACGAAGGATCCGCCCCTTTCCACCGAAGATGTTGGGGCAATCTTACCGGGGCTTCCAGGCTAAGTGCCACGTGCATAGCGAGGAAACCACTGCGAATCTTTTTAGTTGTGGGGTCACTGCTGGAGGCCAGAGATCATGCTCGAACCGTTGGATGCCGAGCTGCGAGCGTGGTTGGCTGCCAGCGCCCAAGTCACGGTTTACGGCCAATCACGCAGACCTCGGGGTGTTGGCCTACTCCTTGTTCCTCTGTGTACTGTTGGAAGCAGGCTGTCCAAAGGTTGCACTCTTTTGAACGGTTCAAGGGTAAAGAGACGACAGCTCACTCAAGGTATGTTCAGAAAGCGCAGTCTCCTTGCAGCTGGCGATAAGTAACCGTCTACGAGATGTCCTTAAGAATCATGATTGCAGTTGCAGTTGGTGTTGGCCGAAAGCCAAATTGAATGCGTAGCCGCCCCTAAGATAGGAGAGGTTGTCCTTGCATTCGAGGGCACCCTTGCGTGGATGATCTTAAAGCAAAACCAGAAGGGTACCACTTGGGGTCCCTTACACTGTGAAGCACAGGTTCAGCATGCAGTTGGACTGGGGTAGCGCCAAGCTTCGGCAGGAGGAGCAGCTGGCAGTGCTGGAGAACATTCTTTCTTGGCACGGTGCCCTCGATGCACTGTGGGAGTGTGCCACGTTTAGCCCACTAGCCGCACCAAACCTTGCGCCTTATGCGGCTGATGCCAAGCAGGCGCATGGCACATGATTTGTTCTTGGTTCTATTGGGTGCTTTGGCGCGCATGCACGCCCCGATTCAGGCGTGGTGCCATGATGGCCACAGATCAGCAGAACCCACACACCAGTACACGCAAAAACAAACATGCGCCAGCCACTGCACGAGTAAACTTCCGCCAGCCAAATGACGGGACGCCACGGCCAAGCAAGAGAAAGAGACTGTGTCAGTGGGATTCCAGCGCTGCTGCAAGGGATGGGATGGGGAGCGAGATTTGCAGGAAAAATGCATTTTCGACTCAGCAGCACAAACACTTGTTCAAACCCGTTTGAAATGCGGCACGCTTTTGCGAACGGCATAACACACGCGCAAGTTTTTGGAAAGCTGGCCTCGAAGAGACTAAGCAAATCAAAGGTTAACCAAACGCAAACCAAAGGCAGACCCAAAGCAAACCAAAAGGTAAACCAAAGGCAAACCAAAGGTAAACGAAACAAGTTTGTATTAGAGGATCCTCTTTGGATGCTGTCCTAACTCTTTCAATATGATTCGGGGGGGCGGGTGCCCTCTGGAGTGTCATTTGCGCTTTCCGTTGTTTGCCGGGCTGGTTTGCAGAAAAGCTGTTCAAAACATAATTTCCGAGTACGAACGTTTCAGAGGAAGGCAGGCGCATTTGTGTTTTTCTCAAGGGGACCTTCTCTGTTGGGAGCTGAAGGGAGCCCAATGGACCCCCTGATCATGAAACCCCTGTCACGCAAGACTTCGGTTTGAGGCAAAAAGCGCTCAGAAAACAACTTTGAGTAGGACCTTTCGATGGGAACGCAATGGAGGCCCCAGTAATAGCGCCCTTTGGTTTGACGGAAAAAGTGCTCAGAATACAACTTTGGAGCCAGACCAGGGTGAACCCCGGTAAGCACATTTGCAGAGCTTTGCTGAGGGCGGTTTTTGCAGAAAGGTTTTTTTTGGCCTAGCCCGCTTGGTTGGTTGATTATTGGTTAGTTATTTGGATGGATGGATGGATGGATGGATGGATGGATGGATGGATGGATGGATGGATGGATGGATTGCGGCTCGGTGGGACAAAGGTTTGGGTGGGTTTAGGGTAGGTTTGGGGTAGTCCGTTTGGGGTGGGTCCAGGCCTAGCATCGCTTTAACATCCTCAGCATCGTTTTCAGCATCCTCCAGCATCACCAGGCTTTGGTTTAGGCTGGGTTCAGGGTGGGTTCCAGGTTGGCTCAGGGTTGCTTCTTGTGGTTGGTGGTTTAGGGCTGGTTTAGGGTGGGTTTTAAGTTGGCTTCGACTGTGGTTGTGTTTAACTTAAGCACAACAACGGTCGAAGCCAACTTAAAACCAACCCTAAACCAGCCCTAAACCCACCCGAGACCAACCACAAGAAGCCCCGCCGTAAACAAGCACAAGCCATCTACCTCAAGCACAGCCACCCCCAAATTTGCTCTTAATCCACCCGGAGTAAACCCAGCCTAAACCAAAGCTGGTGATGCTGAGGATGTAAAGCGATGCTAGGCCTGGACCTGAACCCCAAACCTTTGTCCGTTAGTGTTTCCTTTCGTGCACGCCAGGCTGTGCCAGGGTTAGGCTAATGCCAGGGCTATGCAAAAAAAACACCTCAGCCAGGTTTTGGTCGGCCTGGTGGTGTTATTGGGGGGAGGTTTATCAATAGGAAGAAAGAATGCCGGCCAGTCGTTCGTGAGGTTACACTACTTTGAAGCTCCTCACAGACCTCAGCGGCGAGGAAGTGAAGGACCTATCAGTTTTGAGCTGTTGTGTTGTTGTCGTCCTGGCGCAAGGTGCCCCGGAGCTTTGGTTGCGGCTTGCATTCCAAAGCCCAAAAGCAGAAGCTCTTCCGGGATGTAAGATGTAGCATATATTGGCAGCAATTTCTGGCGGGCTCAACGCAGAAGCTTGCGCCATCCTACGCAGATGAGAACGCCATCCCAGGAGTTGCTCAACGTGCTTCTCCCGCGAGCAGGCATTTGCATTGTGCAAGCACTTGGCACGCCCCAGAATTTGAAGGGCTGGCAGCGCACTCCTGTAGGATCAAGATGGGTCAAGGCCGTTTTGTATAACATTTGTTTGCCTGCATTCATCGTTTCAGTCATTTCATGGTATCAGAAGATGCCCGCGCCAAAAAAAAACTACTCGGTCGAACACTTGCGGCCTTGTCTATCCTTCATGTGTGTGGCATCAGGCGCGGGTGAGCCTTAGGCACTTGGCTTTGAGGCTATGCAGCCCGCATGCGACGGGCCCTTCAAAAGTTGCGCGCGAGCCTCAGATCCGACGGCGGTTTTGACAGCCCCCGTCGTTCGCTGGATGTTCACGGGCTCTCGATTTTGGACACAGGTGGCTTATTCGTTTGCCAGATCCGGTCCATCGCCGTTTTGGAATTTCGGCTCAGTTCATTTAAGCCTAGAAGCAAGCCCTGACCAGCAAACAGAGCTCAGCGTATTTGCCAACCCTGCGGTTTGCTGGCGCCAGCTAGTCATGTGCGGCGGCAATGGGACCGAAGGGGAGTACTGCACGCCGGATTGCCTGAAGCCAGTGCCAAAAGCACAAGCCGCAGGCTCAGTGCATGGAACATCCTTTCAAGCACCTTGGTCACACGGTGCGGTGGAACGCATGGTGTCCCATTCGGCTTTGCAAGGCAGTCGCTGGCGATTTGGTCGTGGAAGAGTTTCCCATCACCTTTGAGGGCTACACCTACAAGTATGGCCGCATTGCGTACATCATGGGGCGCCGCCCCAGCCCTGTCATTCTGGTGCATCACAATTTTGCTGGGCTGAAGCAGTTTGATGTGGACCAGGCATGCTTCATGGCAAGGATTGGTTACGTCGGGGTGGCTGTTGACCTGTACCAGGAAAAGCCAAACTTCACGTATCACGACCGCGGTGCAAGCTCTGGGCGGCTAGTAGACTTTGAGAGCTACTGCCAAGAGGTTCGAAAAGACAATCTGCTGAACCTCCCAGACGGGGGGAACTACCCCACTGAGATGCTGAGGGCATATTTTGATGGCACGCCCAAAAAGGACGAGGGTTACTTGTTGAGGTGCCCATGAGATCCATGGGGGGAAAGGGGTATAGCCGGTATAGCTTGCCCGCTGGATTCAACGAAGGTTAGCCACCGGTTTTGAGGTTGGAGTTTTGGGTTTCGGGTTTAAAAGGGTTGAGAGGACGGCAAGGTGGACTACCAGGCGGTGCGCAACTTTGTTGGGGCCTTCACAGAGATGAACCGATTGCTTCGGGGCCTGGGGTCCTGGCGAGGCCTCATGCAAGCCAACCTGGAGCAGGCATTTAATCACCCTGCAGTGAAGTCAGGCTGTGCTGGTGCTTTTGGATACTGCCTGGGTGGGCAAAGCTGCTTGGAGCATGTTCGCGCCGGGCACCCTGTGCAAGCAGTTTGCTCCTTGCATGGACTTTTGCATTCGAGGCCCCTAACGGACGAGGAGCCGCTGAATTCTCACAAGAGGATGTCTCGCGAGGAATATGCTGCAAAGCTTGCTGTGCCCAATTCTTACAACCGGAATTGCAAAGTGCTGATTGAGAACGGGGACCTCGATGACGAGGTGCCGGCTGATACAATTGTGGACTTCGTCCAAGAGATGGATGCCCAGGAGATCGATTGGCGCTTTGACAACCACGCGCGCGGCCCGCATGGCTTTGCTTTGGGCAAGGGCGTCCCGGGCTGCCAGTACGTGGAGCACATCGACCGGCGCTCCACCATCACCATGCTGAGCCTCTTCGCGGAGACCTGGCCAGACTTTGAGCAGCACCCGGTGAAATGCAACGCCTCTGGCACCAGCTTCGAGCTTCCAAGGCCCAGGCCCGGGGGGGGCCGACCTCGCCTGGCGGGTGCGCTTGGATTCCTGGCTGGGGCTGTGCTCAGCATCACAGCCATCAAGCTTCTACGAGCTTCACTTTAAGGACATACCGACATACCCATTTGTTTGTTGATCTCACCAGTCCCACCCGACATGGCAGCTTCACGTTGAGACATTTGTGACTGCATGCCGGCGCCAAGCACGAAGTCCTTGGCTTTAAAAGAAGCTTTAGGCATGTGTGCGGCACGCATCCTGCTTCGCGCATGGTGTTCCAGAGCCCGGATGTGTGCAGGTATGCCAAGAGCCGTTTGCTTGGCTCGAAATCTGGATGGCCCGACACGTCCAGCCAAACCTCAGCCAGCGGTACGCTCCGTGGCATGCGGCATCAGCAGAAGCAGCCAGTAATAAGCTTACCATCACGTCAGCAGTGCGGTGCGGGTGGTGCACAATGGCGCAGAAACAACATCCTTGCAGTAGAGGGTTGCCGTAAACATGGCCGGGAAGAAAATATAACCGACACTCAACCGATGCCCACTGCTGCTGGTGCAGCGAACCCTTCACACTATTGTTGAACAGGCTCTCAACTGAGCAGGCACGGCCCCGTGATCAATACCCACCTTCTTTCTAGCACGTTGAGTAGGGGATGAGCGTTTGCAGCATCCACGGCTCTTGCCGGCATGTTGTGCACACTGTGGGCCAGACCTCGAGATGGGTTTGCGCGCCATGTTCATGAGGGCGCTGGCTGTTTAGGAGAACAGGTGGATGAAAATTGCAGCTGCTTGGCTAAGAGCTGGTGGTCAAGCCGCCGGCAATTGGACCATTGGAGGAGTCGTTTTCATGGCACTGCGCTTTGCGGTTTGCATGAAGCAAGGGCGGATGAAGCTTGAGCCTAGGTTGTGGGTTCTTGCTATGGCGAGCTGGACCGGGTCTACGATGCGGTCAGGACACTCTCATGCTGCCCTTGCGGATGTGTAGGGGTGGGAGGCTGACAGGCTCAGGGGCTGACTCGAGAGGAAGTTGGCAAAGCAGGGCATCACCCTTGACTTGCTGATTTGCTGCGGTGACTTCCTCTCAGTGCGGGATGAGCAGCTGGGTTGCCAGCATGCCGCGATGTTCCAGAGCATTGTAAACCTTTGGCTGGAGAACTGGCCGGAACGTCGGCTGAGTAGTGCCACGCCTAGGAAAGACCTGGAAACTGTGCATATGCCGTCGCAGCACAAGGACTTATGCAGAAACGAGAGCCACCTGCAACCTGCGAAACATAGTATCATCAACACAAGCCAAGTGACACCAGGACTTGAAAGATTTCCCCAAGTACTACAGCGGCAGAAGCCAGGACTCGCCAAGTTGACAGTTGATTGAATGCCATTTTGTCTGCGCGAGTGACTTTCAGAGAGGCGCCAGTGACGACAGTCTTCATCGGGGGCAAGAATGAAGCCGCCAACCTGCACCTTGCCTGCAAAAAATACGACCAGTGATGCCCAGATGTCCTACCCTGGGGCACTCGTTCCTTCGCTTTCAAGAGTGGTTCATGCTGTCTTTTTCTTCCGCCCCAGTCTGCGCCTGTTTCGGAGCGAGCCGGTGCCAGGCTACGAGAGCACTACTACGGGGGCTGGGTGGCACCTGGCATCTACTACCTGGGCGCCGCAGGGGTGCTGCGCTGCGGGCCACTGCGCGTGGCCGGGGTCTCCGGGCACTTTGTGTCCTCCGACTACTTCCGGGGCCGCCACGAGTGCCCGCCCTTCACGGAGGCGGGAGGCTGCCTGTGATGGGCTGTGAAGCTAAGGGTTGATGAAGGGCTGGGCTCTGGTTGCGTTGATTGGAATGGGTCGCTGGTTGGGTATTGCTGGCTCGGTTGCCATAGTAAGGTTGTTTGACGATTTGAGCACCCCGGCGTTTTGGCTAACTTGCCTTCTGGGTGTCCGAAAACTGGGTTGGGGGTGGGCGAAAACACGAGCCTTGCCAGGAATTCATTCGCAGCGCCTGCCATGCCCGTGAGTGGGACGCAGCGCGTTTAGAGAAGCTGCAGTCGCCCGTGGACATCGTGGTGTCCTATGATTGGCCTCGAGGTGCATGTAAAGGGCAGAGGTCAGATGGCCACCCAAGATCCCAGGCAAGCTGTGATAGCCAACCAGGGATGTTCCCTTGAGTTTTTGCTGGTTTGCCCTGGGAGAATTCGGGGCTGGGATAGGTTTTGCCTTTAGGGTGCCCACTTGCCAGGCATTTGGAAGCACGGCTCGTACAATCAGATGTGTGAGCAGCGGCTTGGCAAGGACAATGCTTGTTTTGTTTTGCTGGTTCGCCCGTTGGCTTCCTGGTTGTCCAGGTGTAGTCAAGGTTCCGTCCGCATGCCTGACCTGTTCTGTGTGTCTAGTGTGCCATACTGGTACCTGTGAGACTTGTGAGTGTTAGGCAAGAGCTGGGCGAGAACCTCAAGCGTGAAATGGAAGGCTGGAAGCTGCGGAAAGCCATTGATAGCCCTCCATGTGTGTGTTTGTTTGCCAGGACGGGTTGAATAAGTTGACAGGTGGAAAGGCTGTGGATGACAAAAACCAGCCCACCTGGGCAAGTGGCAGGTCTCCGTAAATCGGACCCCAAAACCCTGGAGAGTAATTACCCAGGCAACACCCTGGGCAGCCCCGCTGCCATGGAGCTGCTGCGGAAGCTGCGGCCTGCCTTCTGGTTCTCGGGCCACCTGCAGGTGCGGTTCAGGGATTCAGGGCGGTTCCTTTAGCCGGGCGCGGAGGTGCCGCAGGCTGCGGATGATCTCATCCTCTTGAGTCCTTCATGCCATGTGGCGCAACCATGGGCGGTCGGCTTTCAACCAATGGAAGCACCAGCTTGCCCTGCGAGGTGAGATTCCCTGCATTGGTCTCTCACGGGGACGGCACCTTCACGCGGTTTCTGGCAATGGACAGGTGCAAGGGCGGCCGAGAGTTCATGCAGGCAGGGCAAACAGCGATGAACGTCCCAAATGTCGAAAGCAAAGCCAACAGATCTGAACATGCCTTCTCAGAAAGACGGGGGCAGCAAGGGAACTAACTTCTTGGAGCAGGTCTTGGACATTGACCCTGGGACGCCTTCTGCGATGCGCGCCGTGGCACCGCTGCCCAGATGGCGACAACCAGCGGCACCGGAGAAGCTCTGCTATGACCCCGAGTGGCTGGCCCTTCAGAAGGTGGGGGAGCTACTTGCGGCTGCAGTGCTTATCATTGTTTCGAGGGTCTCGGCGTCGCACATTGAAACAAATGTCGCAGAGCTCGCTTTCAAGATTCGCGCGCATACGCCCCCCAAAAGCAGATTGGCAGCTTTTGCTTGCTTGCACTCTCCAAATCTGCGCGGCAGGTCAACCATGAGAATCTTGGCAGCTGCATGGTTGTTGCCTGGCGTCGAGGTGGGCAACGGTTCTGTTTCCGAACAAGGGCCTGGGTTTCGGATTTGGGCGGTGCACCTCTCAGGAACGTCTCCTTCTCTTGGCACCCGGCGAAGGCAAAGCTGCTAGCACCATCCAAGGCGTGCTTGGGAGATCTGAATTCGGAGAGGGCGGGGTGCTTGACTCTGTGGCTTTGTCTCCAATTAACATGGTGCTCTCACGATTCACAGGTTCCAAGCCTTCCGCTCGCGACAGCTCAAGCTTTGGCTCGCCAGGAGGAGGTCGAGTGGGTCAAGGCCCGCCTGAAGGCCGGGGATGGCAGCAGCCCGCGGCAGCCTTTGAAGCGTCACCCCAACCTTTTGCCCACGAAGCTCCGCAAGAGCGGCGGCGTCGGCAGGCGCGTTCCGTAGCGGTCGCTCCAGCTCGGGTCGGTATGCCGGTAGAAAACTGGAGGTGCCCAACTGCCTTGATTATGTCCAGTACTCTCATTGAGGCCAGTTCTGCCTCAGAGGCTCCTCCCATAGCCATTGACCAATGCACATTCTGCCGACGGATGCATATATATATATATATATCATAGATCATATGTACGATCGAGAGTCGATGCACTAATGCGCTTACGAGGGAGGGGGGGCAGGGGATGGGCTATCCGTTTGGCAAATAGCTCACGAATGCCAGCTTTTCCGGGCCCCGGCAGTATAAGTATAAGTTGTGAAGCAGAACATTGTCATTGCAAAGCTGCGCATGAAGCCAGCTTCCCCCATGCTTCTGCGAAAATGGGGTTAGAATGGGATTATGTTTGCCAGGCAAACCTTCCAAAACTTCTCCACCCTGCAGCTGCGAGAGCTCTTCGAGATCCGGGGCTTGGAGTTCCCGGGCTACCTGGACAAGGCTTCCATGATCAAGCGCCTGGAGGCCTTCGATGCCCTCCACGGCGAGGAAGAGAAGGACCCGCTGACCCGGCGCCGTAGCCGGCGACAAAATATCTGAGAGCTCAAACCTTGGCTCCCAGCTATTCAGTGGTTGCCAGGTAGTTTCTGTCCATTTTAAGCCACTAAAAGCTAAACCTTTAGCGGGGGATCTGAGGACAGCCCAGAAACAACTTGAGAGAAGTCGGGGGAGATGAGAGCTGTAGGCATTTGCTTAGCGTGGCATTGGCATGAGGAGATGGAGACCGAGTCCTATCCAATCCCTCTGAATTTCGCTGCCACCGCCGCGAATCCTGCCTGGCAGTGCCCGGTTGGCATGCGTTGCGCAGTTTTTGTTCAAATACTCAGACTGACTTGGCACGAAGGTCTACAAGAGGTGTGACTGACTCCTTTTCAGGAGTTTCCAGCAGATCAAAGTAGCTCAGTGATGTAATTATTCTGGTATTCCCGCGTGTTGCTATCAAAGACTCGTGTCCAGGCGTGATCACCTCCTGCAGATGCTGGAGCTTCCGGATTTGTGGAAGGAGACGCGCGGATGGATGGCAATTCTGGCGGTCACAGGTGGAGAAAACGGCAAAAGGGCGGGTCCCCGGACCTGGTTGCCTTGGGGTGCGTGAGTTCAAAGCACCGGTGGATTCACGTGGACGTCACGTGTCGTGCCCAAGTCCACGGCACGACCAAAAAGGCGCGACTTGGGAACCCGCCTCTGACTTGACTTTCGATCACATTGAAAGTTACAACTACTTGACTAACAGCGTATTTCATGTCACCAGTTTTATCTAGCGCTCAGTTTGTTTCATTGCATCTGCAAAAATGTTGCAGGGGCCACGCAGCCCAAAATGAAGTCTGGAGGTGGCATTGCTGCGATTGGCGGTCAGCCCCAGTTGGCTGATGAGCGTAATTTGATGCGCATCAGGTGTCAGGTCCACCATGCCATTCAGGAGCAAGAGGATCAGCGCCGGCAACTGCGTGGCGCATTGCCCGACGCCTTGAATCCTTTCAAGGAAGCTTGGCAAACGATTCAGCTCCATTGCACCACCCGGCCGTACTGTACTGAATGGATTGATTCAAGATGGGGCGAAATCAGTGTGTTTCATTGGCATGTTCGCTGAAAGTGCAACGACGAGCAGAATGATTTGTTATTGTTGTCACAGCATATTGGCACTCCTCCAGAATCACAAGGCTGGCGAACGCGCTGAAACGTATGTGGCGTGCAATGTTGCGGCACTCGACCAACAGGCCAGGCAGCTGGCGGCTGGCATGCTTGAGGTATTCGGTTGTAGATGGCCAGAGCTTGGCGACCTTGCGTCTGAATGGCATCCAAGCATGAGATCATTACGGGAAGTGAACTGGCGACATGTTAGCATATTCCAAAGTCAAGAAAATGGAGCATCAGCATGATACATTGGGAAGCCTGCCTCCTGGTCAGCTATGCAAAAGGCTTGCTCAGCCCAGGCACCGCCCATACTGGAGGACCCAGCTGCTGGCAAAGGCCTGCTCTAAGGGACGAGTGCAATGTATGGGCGGGCTGCATGTTGGGGGGGGAGTTGGGGTGGGCGGGGAAACACGGCGCTTGCACTGCGTCGCAAGTTGTGCAAGTTGCGCTTGTTTGACAGTCTGAAAGGTGGCAGGTGGGGCCTAGTGCCAGCCGCCACTCAATGGTGCGCTCAGGCCAAGAGCCAGTTCCCGAGCCGCTGGAGTCTGTGGAACAGGGAGCTCAGGAGAGCGAACTCAACGCCTCAACTCCTGGCGAACCTCAAGAGCAGGCTGAATCGGAAGCTGCTGAGCCAACTGCCGAGCCAACTGAGCCAACTCCTGAGCCACCGAATGTGCCAGAGCAGCCAGCGGAACTTTCACCAGAACAGGCTGCAGCAACACCTGCTGGAGGTGCAGATGAGCCTGCGCTCGTAGCAGAGCCCTTGCAGCCTTCGGAGCCCCTGGAGCCTTTGGAGCCCTTAGAGCCCCTGGAGCCCTTGGAGCCTTTGGAGCCCTTAGAGCCCCTGGAGCCCTTGGAGCCTTCGGAGCCCCTGGAGCCCTTAGAGCCCTTGGAGCCTTCGGAGCCCTTGGAGCCCCTAGAGCCGCTGGAGCCCCTGGAGCCCTTGGAGCCCTTAGAGCCGGAGATGCTTGAGACGGACGCCGAGCCAAAGATGCTCGCGGATGAGTCAGAGCTTCTGGAGCTTATGGAGCCTGAGGCTGGTGCAGCTCTTGGTGCTCGAATGCCAAACCCCACATCATCCAAAAAGCGTTCAAGGGATATTCGTGTTTGCTTGTCATCATAAATGGGCTTGCTTTCAAGCTGCGACAGACTTTGCAGGCTGAGAACGAGCTCGATGCCTCAGCAGCTGCGCTGGCTGCAGCAATGATGGGCCTGGCTGACTTTGAGGACTTGCATGTCGTGATTTTGCTGCAGCCAAAGTTGTGGGAAGTGTTCAGCTTGGAAATTGCCAAAGCTGTGAGGCCTTTTTGGGGCCCTGTTTCATTCGACTCCCCCTGGGGCCCACAGCACGCCTGTCTCAAGCGATGCCTTTTCATGGCTCCGCAAAGGACGGGCCACTGACCTTGGCGGTTGAGCCAGAAGAGGCGGGTGGTTGGGCAGAGCGCGTTGGCGGGCAAAACTCCGTAGCTTGGAGTTGTTGGGGGGCCATGGGCCCTTCAAGGATTTGATACAGCCATTGGAAATGCGGTGTTCGGCGGAAACATGACCGTGCTTCACAATGGAGCCTTAACCAATGCACATGTTTTTACCCAATTTCTTCCTGGCTCACCTAAATCGCAAGCAAGCTAGTAGCAAGCTCACCTAGATTGAGGTCACTTGACTGTGCCTCATTTGTTGTGTTCGATGTTTGATGCATGTTGCAAACGTTTGCGCACCTTACTTTGCTTGCTTGAAAGCCGGGTCGGTGGGTTTCAGCGAGTGTCAAACAAAGGACATGCTTGAAGAATGCAACAGCGGGTGACTGTGCTTAGTCATGTCAGCGTCCTTGGGCAAACTAGTTGTGTTGTTTGTTCAAGTGAAGGCGAATGAGTTTCCGGACGGTGGATCTTCAGCATGGGATGAGGAGATGGTTGATGGCGGGGAAGCTCGTGTTGACTACACCGTCAGCGATCAGAGCCTGACAGATCTGGTCGAGGCAAGGAGTCTCAAGTTGGGTTCCGAATGTGATGTCCAGGGCTTTTAGAGGCTGCCCAAATGCAATTATCTATAAGTACTGCCAGATTCAGATTCAACTCGTGTTGCCACAGGGCAGACTTAGCCGGCGTTTGAGTGGGGTTGCCCCAATTGGCCCAGGCAGTGGAAAGCAACCTGCCGCCCGACCAGGGCGCAGTGGCAGATTGGACGATGCCGGGCATCGGTGCTGAATGTGGCTCCAGTGAGGAGGCAGCAATGAAGCTGAGCCTGATGTTGGCTGGAATGCGGCAAGGGAACTTTTGCGGAAACACTCCACCAGGCCCTGTAAATTTGGGACCTTGTGTCTATTGTGTGTGCTTTCGACTGATTTGAGCCATGCAGCGCCATTTAGGGTTCGAACAGAGCTCCGTGGATCCCAGTCAAGCGTCCAAGTTTTGCGACGCTGCGAGTGGCACGGAGGCCGGCTTCGCGGCGTTGGCGCGAGCCCTGGCAGAGGCGGAACGAACCTTGGCAAGAGGTTTGGGCGCATTGTGCTTCAGCTGCGATAGTCCCACCCTCGGGCCCCAGATGGTTGCTCGTCGTCAGAGAAGCGGTTTTTTTTTGGTCTAGCACGTGTTCCTCATTCCATGTTTAGCTTTGCAACCTCACGACTACTGTTGCAGATTATTGCAGATGGTGACTTTTTGCTGGCGCACGTTCTACTTCGTCACGTCGCTGGATCTCCCCCTTCCGCGTTTAGATGTGGAGGCAGTTTGCCGCCAGCACAGCTTGGATCTCGATAATGCTCAGATTCTGCGGCAGGATTTGCGTGACGTTACAGGCGATTCGCGTGACGAAACTCCTGTGCTGTCGCGCCTACTGTGGGCGCCCGCTGCGCACCGCCACAGAGCGACGGAGGGTTTGACAAGTCCCTTAGATGCCTTTAAAAGCTTCTCTACAACTGTTTTCCGTGACCTCAGACAAGCTCCTGATGATCACCAACCCAGAAAGCGTTTGCCCTCAGCGTTCTTATTTCCGCAAATGTTTGGAATATATGATTTCACCACCTGATTGAAGTCCCTGCATGAAATGCCCATTGGCTGCAGTGTTTTTGAGCTCCTCCCGGTTTGCGCTGAACATGATCCGCAGATGTTCGCAGGCCTGAAGACGGTTCTTCTTCTTTCCCCACCGAACATGTCAATCAAAGCGCCATTTAAATTTGCAGTTTCATGATCAAGACGAAGTGAATCACGCCTCATGATGGTTTTGGGAACTTAAGGGCTGGACTGTCACATGATTGCTTGTCATTGGGCGAGGGGGTCGCTATGCATGGGTGCATTACGTGTTGGTTGAATGGACCGGCCGGCCAAAGCGAAGATGTTTTCAGTTGCCCTTTGCTTTGGACGTACGCATTGGGTCCTTGTTCAGTGCTCGCTGACAAATGTGGAAAAGGGCATGAGATGACATTACCACAACTGACCTGCAGCACTAGGAGAGGAAGCAGAGGAAGCTGTAGCCGTGGTGGATGCTGATGCGCCCCTGCAGCTTGGAACAAAGTTTGAACTCAAGAAGGAGCCGAACACAGTTGCAGCGACGAGATTTGTGCACCACGCGCCTCCAAACATGTAAGCGAATGCTCGGTGGAAGTATGGCCAAGTCTTTTGTTGAGGTTCAGAGATATTAAGGGTAAAATGAAGACGCCCAAGCAAAGGGAACCTACTAGTGGCATGGAATTGACCGATCTACACTGATATGCGGAAATTGCACGCACGACGTCATTCTACTCCTGCACGAAATGCAGCGAGTCAGCGAATTATAGCATGTAGTTAAATCTGGACAAGTGCGTAAGTCTGACTGTTATTCGAAGACAATCCCTAAACAAGTTTCCTCATGGTTTCCAGAAAACATGCCGCGACCTATCTATGCACCTTGCTCACAGATACTGTTGATAGCAGAAAAGAAAGAATTCAACATAGTTGGAGACTCAACAGTCGCTCGGAAGTTTTTTGAAACGAAACACAAACTACCAGCAGGTGAGTTAAAAACCACATCCGCGGTGGTTGATAGAAACAGACGCAGATAGTATGCGTCGAGCATCGAAACCACGCCTGACAACCGCTAGAACGCGTGAAGGTCACCGAACGGCGCGACAAAAACCCTAAGCCTATTCTAGCAGGTGAAGTCGTCATCGAACGCAGCCCTCCTTTGTGCATGTGCGCTCTGTTTATCCCGTATTTGCCTGCTACAGGTGGCTTGGACTGTCACTGCGGAAGAAAACACAACCCATGGTAGCTTGCGCAGCCCATCCGCCAGCAGAACATCTCAATCTCCATGGATCCGGTGTTGGGATTACAGTTCGGTCCACGATCCTTTTTCCGCAACCCCCGCTATCCTCCTCGTGGTTTTTGGCCTCAGGCCCCGCAAGCGCCGACGTTTCTGAGCCGAGATTCATGGCCAGCGAGGCCAAAAAAGCGTCGTGTGTGAATGAATGGCAGCAGCTGTTTGCAAATGAAATGCCGGACAAGCTAACCACGGTTTTGCAAGATGGCTTGGTGCTGAATTGCTGATTGGTTAGGAAATGCTGAAATCAAACTACCTTTTAAAATATTTGCTCAGGATGGTTGTGAAGTTTGTACATGTTTGCCACCGAGGCCAACACCTGCCCAGCACGGCAGCTGCGCTTGGCACCCGGCACAATGCATTGAGGATCGGGCAATGCTTGGGGGCATGTGCTTAACTCTGCGTGCGCGCATGCGTGTTGCGGACTTTGCACTTCAAAACCAGCCAAGGTCCAGCCAGACAACGGCGCCGCATTCCACAGATGAGGCGCACTGCGGTTTTTGGCGCACTGCGGTTTTTGCCACTCAGCTTTGACGCGACCACCGCGGGATAGTAAGACTTGAAGCCGAGCTTGGCGCAACTTCCAGGCTGAAGCCCAGAGAGAGGCCAGAAGTGGGATGGTGAAGTTATGCGGGAAGGGAGGCCGTGCGTGCTCCATATGGCTCATTGTTCAACCGGAAGCGTGAAGGCCACATGCCAAGTGGCCTCACGAAACCTCCAAGACACCTGAACACAACTTTGCATTCAAGATGACAACTGCCTACCCAGGCTTACCTCAGCTATGCCCCCCCAATACATCCACTCAGGTTTGGCATGCATGTTTCATCGACCCTGGTGTAACCTCACAGCATGGCATATGTGATCCAGGCCAGCCAGGCTAGCCAGGGCAGCGCGAGCCACGCAGCGGGCCAGGGCCCCAAAACGGCCCCGGTGACTCGGTGACTTGGTGACAGCTGCCTTGGTGCTGGCGATGCCATCGGCGCCCACTGTTTCCCAAGCCGCGTCCGTTTGGGATCACCTGGTAATGTCGGATCATGTGTCGACGGTCAACGGGTGTGCTTTGTGAAGGTTTGGCTTTCAACTCAGGCTCAAGCTCCGGCAAGTGTGAGGCTCAGCATTTGGCGCTTGAGCTCCGTCAAGTGCCTGGAAGGCTACAAGGGATGGCAGTCAACGACCCAATGAACTCCATGACCCTTGAATGTCATTGGCAGCTTGTGAATCGGAACAACTAAAATTAAAGCGGCATTGCATTGCTTGCTGGCTGCAAAGCATTTTGCAAATCGCGGAGCCTCAGCATTCAGTTCATCATGCTGAAGCACGTGGAATTTCAGTTCTGTTGCTGTGGGCCAATCACAAACCCAAATGCCAGAGTTCAGACTTGCCATGGGCTGGCAGAATGTCGGTCACAGATCACTTAGCCGCGGTTGGTCTTCCCCACTCGCGAGGTAGATCTCTAGACACTGCCACAGGTCAGACCTGAAATCTGGCATGCGGGTCCGGCTTCAAGGCGAGGGGCCGTGGTTGGTCCCTTCCGGGAAAGAGCGGCGGCACATGTGCGCTTGTGTTTCAATGGAGATCTAACATAGGTGTTTCCTCAATCGCCCCATCCTTGCCATGGATGGACAATCAGCACAGGTTGAGCTGACAGACGAAAAGGATTCACTTGTTCTCCATCAGCGGTTCACTTTGGCTTCACCAAAAACGGAAGTGAGTATGAGAGATAGAAAAGCATGTTTGTTTCTCGCTTCCCGGTGTCCGCTTCGATTGCAGGAATGCGAAGCTGGGCGTGTCACCCTATTCAATGTGGATTCTTCGTTGTAAGAGACACGCCCCCCCCCCCAAAAAAAAAAAAAACTCGCCTTGGCTCTTTGGCGCCATTCCAGATTGGAGGCCAACCGCTGCCCATGAGCCCCGATGGGCAACCCGGAATTTCCTGAATCTTATCGTTTGAAGGGAAGCGCTCGAAATTCCCCTGGCACAAATGGAAACACAGCCGCAAGCCCGATGATAGCAAGCTGTCGGTTGTGCTGGGATCTGGGTTGTTTACAATAGAGGTGTTCAATCCTCGGTGTGCCGCGAAGGCGACAAGAAGTATGGGTGTTGAGTCTGGTTTTCTGGCAACTGCCACCCTTTGGAAATGTGCCCCGGCCTTGGGAAACACCAACCCGTCAGCAGGGAAACTGCCTGGCAATGCTCTTCAGGGCGAAGCCTTTGGTCGACCCCTGGCCCATAGGCCTTGAACGCCGCGCAGAGCTCAATGGCAGCAATGGTCATCTAGGGGTTCGGGCGCCCAAGCGTCAACTGAATGGGTTTTCCAGCGGACATGAGAAATGCTTCTCTTAGTTCCGTTGGCGCCCTTGGCATTTGTGACCAAATTCGGGGCGCACCATCGGGAAGCCTACTTTAATTAGTTTTCTATGCTCATCCACTAGACTGATTTGGCAGTCAGGTCAAGGATTGCGGTTTGAGGCAAGCTAAGAAATTTCTTACTCGCATGCGGCTCAAAGCTGCGACGGCATGGCTGCGGGCGCTGAGCCCCAAGCGACTTGGCTTTATAGTAGTACTCCTTTCCAAGAAATGCGTTAACATGATTGTTGCCAAAGTTTCCAATTCTGATTTGGCATCGGTATCAAATCTATATAATATGTTCTGGATATTTGTGAACATGGTGTGTGTGGGGGCACGTGGGTATGTGTCATGTAGGCCCTCCCACTCGTAGAGTCGTTGGGGTTGATTTCGGGATAGTGCGGGTTTGGCTTGGGATGTTTGGGCTTGATGCAGGGCTGCAGGGTTTGTTGAAGCCTCGGCATGGGCTGATTGAGACCCCAGACTCAGGGGTCTCACCGAGTTGCGGGTGATACAATGTAATGAAGACGTGGTTCTTTGAAATGCTCAGGCGACACAAGCAACCCACTTCTGCGGTGTGCAGAAAGGGAAGCCCAACCCTGGCAACATGTTTTCAAGCATGTGGGAGGGGGCTCTCAAGTTTGAAGACTCACTCCACTATCCGAACGGTCGATAGGCAGGTGGCAGAATGACAACTGGGGACGGAGGCGTTCCCAACATTGCCCATCCCAGCCTTTGCAGCATCGTTGGCTGTGTTTGTCATTCACCAAGTTTATTGCTTGAGATCTCGACCCGCATTCGAGCGCAACTGTCGTTCAGTTCCGTATTGGCCTTCAGGCCTTCCTCTCTTGAAAGGATGACCTGACTGCCGGATACATTTGGACTGCCTGGCTCAGGCTGCTTATCAGGTTGGACAAGCAGTACAGGTGCTGTCCAAGTCCAGTTCCGCCTCTTTGCTTCAGTGGATGTGCTCAAGCAATTGGCTGCTCTTGAGCACGAATTGGTTGCCAATCGAAGCCCAAATGCACGTGAGAACCTCACGTGCCACCAACCTCTGGAAGGGGCCCAAGTGGCTCCAGAGCCGCGTGAGGCTTGGGTGGACGCAACTGTACATTCGATCCTGCCCGATCAAGCCGTGTGGGTGCGGCACGGTCCTCAGAGAATTCCATGCATGTTCCTTTGCAAAAAGAGGTACTTGGACAACTTCATGAGGTCACCCAGGCTTTGAACCAAATGAAGCATGGCGATGTGCGGCATGTCGTGGGAGATGCGAATTGTAGTTTCGCGCACAAGCAACTGATCCACGGCATTTTGTGTGGGTTGCGTGGGGTTTTGCAGAAGGTGACAGTGTAGGTGCTAGCTGGCATGTTTGTGGAGACAGTTGGCCGGCTGGTTGCCGGTTGGTTGTGGTTCCGGTGCCCTTCGGATGCTGCTCATCATTGCAGACCCAGATGTTGCAGATGCTTGTGGATGTCCGCGGTGCTCAGGGGCTTTGGTTTGCAAGCATGTTCCTGAGGTATGGAAGTGCCCAGAAGGTTATCCCGACCGAGCCTCCTGTCAGAAGTGGTTGGACGACAGGTCCCCAGTGGCCAGCCCACACAGAAGCCGACAACATCTCTAAGAGTTAGGCTGCAAGCTTGCAGCCCTTGCATGTCCCAGCATGCCAGGTCAGGCAATAATTTGCTTTCTGGACCTTTGACGGTTGTTATTTGTTCGACGGAGGCTGCAGCCATCAACGCTGAGACGAACAAGCACTGCAGCTGCATACCTTCCAGGCCAAAGAGTTCAGGTGTTTCTAGGCGGCATTCGAGCCCAGTGCGGGTCAAGCCCGCTGAGAAGTCCAGCCCCTCCTAGTGGACACGATGAATTTGCGAACCCAAAATCAGAAGGTGATCGAAGGCTGAAGGCACTTGGGAAGCGAAAGTCGTTTTCCCAACAGTTGGAAGCCGTTCGTGCAGCGCAAGCAGCCAAGTTTCTCCAAATCCAATCAGCAGTGGGTGGATGGCCTGGTCCGTGAGATTTGGCCTGATGGCTCCGTCCATGTACAGTACGAGCAAAACAAGTCGCTCGGCGGCTCCTAGGAAAAAAGCGTCCAATACTCATCAAACAAAGCATCACTTGCACATGTCGTTGCTCTTTTGCGGCTGGTTCTTTTCCAACAAGTCGCACGGGCATGTTGCAAGTACCTGCCTCAGGAATTTGTACAAGGTTGTTGCTCCTGAGCATCTCAGCAGCAATTTCTTTCAGTTCAATGCGTGCACTTTGACGCTCTCAGCCCAGGCTGCAGGATGCTCTTCTCCGCAAGGCTTCAGCTTCACAGACGGTGGAGGCAACCCAGCAAGACACGTCGGCGCCGCTGCCCGACGCACGCTTGGCAGCATTGGCCGAGGAGTCGGACCGCCTGAAAGCGACGATCGCTAAGCAGCAAGAGCAAATCAATGCCCTGCTGCAACGGCAACAGCAAGATCAACTGCCGAAAGACAAAAAGACGGAAGTGGCAGAAGATCCTGAGGCACAATGCCGATGGCCTAAATCCAGACTGGGGAACTGGACTTGCAGTGCCTGCACTTTCCAAAACATCGAGCCACTGAAGGAGTGTGAGATGTGTGGAGCGTCACGGCCCTCTGAGCCCCAATTGAAACGACGCCGCACGCTCCCGCCTATCGATGTGTCTGACGAACCCTGTGAAGCGTCGCGAGAGTTCCTGCGTCAAGCGACCAAGGTGGTGCCGACAAACTCCCAAGCCTCGTTGGGACGAGAAGAAAGAGGTGCCGCAGCAGACATCGAAATGGCTGAAGTGCCACCGCCTGAGGGATCCGGGGAAGTGCTGAATTTGCCAAGAAAGCTTTACGAGGAGCTTTGCCCTTACCAACGTGAGGGTGTGGCCTGGATGTGGCAGCTTTATCACCGAAAGCAGGGCGGTATTTTGGCCGATGAGATGGGCTTGGGCAAAACTGTCCAGGCCTGTGCCTTGATTCAGGCGTTGGGGGCTGGAGCGCACGTCATGGTGGTGATGCCTGTTACGCTGCTGGATCAGTGGGCCAGGGAGTTGCAGCGGTGGTGCCCCAAGTGCCCCGTCTACATCTACCACGGCTCCGCGGGCCATCGCCTGCGCGCATTGCGGGCCATGCAGCGGGGGGGGGTACTGCTGACCTCCTACGCAATCGTGAAGAACGAGGAGCACAAATTGGCCAGCGTCAACGCGTTGGAAATTTTCACTGGTGCTTGGCTCGGCAAGACTAAGAAGGCTGGAATAGGAGAACGTACCCGCGAGAAGCTCTGGGATGCGGTGATTTGCGACGAGGCGCACGTGATGCGCACCATATCCACACTGCTGGGCAAGGCCATGCGGAATGTCAAAGCTCGCTGCCGGATACTGCTAACGGGAACGCCTGTTCAGAATGCTTTGCAAGATTTATGGGCGCTGATGGATTTTGCGGAGCCTGGCTTGCTCGGGAACCATGCAACCTTCACAAAACGCTTCAACGATCCCATAGAGCCGCTTGTTTCACATTGGAACTGCATGGCCTCAGACATTGACAGAGGGAGCGGTGTTGCGGGGACACAAGGTTCGGTCAAAATATCCGGAAGTCTATGGTCAGTGTGGGACGGACATGGGGGACAAACTGGGGCACTCACAAATTGTCCCATGTTTCTTCCGTGTTCAAAAGGCTGCCGTGCAGCTCAGGAAAGGTAGCGTCAGAGATGCTTCCGCATCAGCTGTGGCTTTGAAGAAGCACCTCTGCGCAACTCGCAGCAATGTGGATTTCGCCTCTTTGCCCTTTAGCCGTTGTCCTGGAAATGCTAGTCACTAGGCTCCCTGCGTTTTTTCCTCAAGCATCCACGCACGTCATGTCCGCTGAGGAGCAGCTATGGCAGCTCGCCAAGCCCCACATGCTGCGTCGGACCAAGGAGCATGTTGGCCTGCTGGGTGGGGTGCAGGATGGGGTGATGATGGCCAAGCAGCTGCCACCCAGAACGGAGCCGCTTGATCTCATTGTCTGTGTGTGTGTGTGTGTTCGTGGTTTTGTGTTCGAGTGTGTGTGTGTGTGTGCTCTGTTGCTCTTTTGGCGACTAGTGGGGAAGCGCTGAAAGCGAAACAGCGCAAAACTGCATTGGGGGGTGGGCCGGGACTCCTGGGCAAACAAGTGTTGCAAGTGCAGTGCTAGGTATGTGGTTTGGCTGATGCCGACCAGAGATCAGATACGGACCTACCAGAAGGCTCTAGAAACCAGCGATGTGATTCATGAGGCGAACAGCGCCTTTGATCGCATGTCAGTACTCGCAGCCGAGGGCTCAACAAACTTGTTTCTTTGAGCGTCATGGTTTCCCCTTCAAGGGCAGAATTTGCAAAAGTGTGAATTGTGATACGTGTCGGCACGCGAGAGTTCCCGGCCAGACAAGAGCAAGCTGGGCGTGGAAGTCTTCCGTGCCATTGGCCTCCTGAAGCGCCTTTGCAATCACCCGGCCCTGGCTTTGCCGGCAACACCGGAGGCAGGACTTAGATTGTGAGCTACACAGCTACCCGCGCTTGAAACAAGCAGCGCTTTGTAGAGAACCGATGTCAAGAAAACGGGGCTCATGGACGCATGGAGCCACGCGCCGGAAGTCGCCCACCTCCCATCTCACGCCACCTTTTGGCAGGCCTGGCGCGACTTCTTAGCTGGTGGCTCCGGGGGCGAGGAGCTTCCAGCCGACGAGGCGGACGAAGAGGAGGAGGTGGAGCCAGTGGAGCCGGGCAAAGCGGTGGAACGCATGTTGAGGCGGGGCTGCCAGGCTGCCATGGCACCTTGAATTGGCGATCCCAGGGGCTTGAAGCGCGACGCCATGTCTATGGTCGCGCAGAGTGCCAAGCTGAAATGCCTCAGTGCGTTGATGCTTGGATGCATAGAACCGCTTGCTTGAGAGCATTTCCTGCCTTCCTGCCAGCGCTGCGGTGACCTAAGACTGCCAAGATCAAGATTAGCGGTTTCACACGCCACAAGAGATTCATATTTTGGCGCACTTTCCAGGATAGTACACCAAGGCACTGAGCGACGGTTGTTGTTTTGACGTAGCCTCGCAATGTTTTGCACAGGGTCGAGCTGTGTGCTGAAGACGCCTGGTGCTTTTTTTCCGCGTCCAGGCCGGGCCGTGCAATCCTTTTGGCCTCTGAGGCTTCCGGCCATGTCAGGGCACCGAACGCTGATCTTCTCGCAGGGCATCAGGATGATGGACCTGGTGGGGGGTGCCATGAATTGACTTGCGATGGGTTTGCCGTGCAGAAAAGTTGTTTTGTGTACTTGCTTCGCAAGTAGCTTGAGCCGTGCACGACCCTGAGAGGTAGAGCTCTTCGTTTTGAGGCGATTGGGCATCACGTATCTGCGGATAGATGGGCAGACCGACATCAACACGCGCAACAGCCGGGTGCAGAAGTTTCAAAACGAGCCAGAGGCCTACAGCTGCATGCTGTTGACCACAAAAGTGGGCGGCTTCGGACTAAACCTCACCTCCGCAGACCGCGTCATTATCCTGGACCCTGCTTGGAACCCTGCAGTGGACATGCAAGCTGTGGACCGCGCGCATCGAATTGGCCAAGAGCGGGAGGTAAAGACCTATCGTCTTGTGATGAGCGGCTTGATTGAGGACAAGATGTTCCGCTTGCAAGTCTTCAAAATGGGCCTCACCAAGACAGCGCTGGAGACAAAGCAACAACAACGGCTCATCGATTGCACTCAAGCGTGCGTGTGTGCGTATGTGGGGGTTGATCAAAAGGTCCTTGCAAGGAGTTACGTATTCGGTGACCATTCGTCTTGGCTTAAATCCCTCCGCGAAAGATCGGCGATGGAGTTCGCGAAAGAAACTTATTTTTTCGCGTTGGATTCTTGGAGCCATGCCTGTGCACTTACATATTTGCAGACCCCGCTCCCTTGTAGATAGGGAGATACGCAGCACCTTCATTTGCATTATTGATTCCCTGCCTGTCTTGGGAACGGTGCAAATCAATAACGTTGGCTGGGCTATTTTGGAGCAAGTTTCGCGAAAGATCCGCGAAAGACCGGCGAAAGGCCAGGGAGCTTGTTGCAAGGTTCCGCACATCGCCGGCAAGCGCAAGTGGCAAGGGCGAATGACGGTGACTGCTTGCGCTTAACACTACGTACTGCACGCAAGTGAACTGCGGCTACCGTGTTTGCAAGCATAACTGCAGCAGCCATAATGGCTCCAGAGCGCACGCTGCAAACAAACGGGCGTGGCGATGGAGTCGCGAAAGATTCGCGAAAGAAACTTTTTTCCTCGCGAAGATGGCGTTTTCCGGAAGCAGGAATATTGCTCAACTGCCATGTGTGTCCACGTGTGTTTGTGTGTGTGTGTGTGTGTGTCTATGTGTTTGTTTGTGTCTGTGCGTGTGTGTGTGTGTGTTTGCTTGCTTGCTTGCTTGCTTGCTTGTTTGCTTGTTTGTTTGTTTGTTTGGTTGGCACCGGTTGTGAGAGAGATATGTTTGGCACCGCTGGGCATGCGCAGGTATTTCACAGCCGATGAGATCCACGGCCTCTTTGAGTGGGCCGACCCTGCCCAGGGCGAGACCCGACAGCTACTCCGTCAGATGCATGGCATTGAGGACGCTTGGCTATGAGCCTTGCGAGTTTTGCCGGGAGCGGTTGCCCATTTCAGAAACGACAATTCGCTAGATGATGAGACGATTGGCATTGTCACTCAGAAGGTTCAGATTGCAGAGCTCAGGACTGTGCAGCACAGGGCGATGGCGATGCATGGCTGAAAGCCGGCCCCGCAGTGGGGCTGAGCAGCTTCTCCTACTTGTACAAAACGCTGCAGGGCGAGCAGGACGTGTGAGCCATGCTTTTAGTGAATTGAGACGTTGGGCCAGGGAAAGGCCCGCGCACATGTCAGGGAGATCCCCAAAGATTCTCATGGCTTTTGTGAGGAGTTTGGTTACTTCAGAGTTTATGGCAGGATGATTTGGAGAATGCTGCGCCCGAAGTGAGGCCGTGCTGTACTGGGCTCAAGCTGATGATATCTGATGATTGTTTGAGCAATGTTTCGTGCTTCGATCAAAACATATGGATGCGCCTTCCTTTTTTTGGACTCTTCAAACTCTTCCTTTTGGTCGGCTAGAACGCCAAACAGGAAACCAACAATGAGGTCCCCTAGTTCGCCGGCCATGTTGGGGCTTGCCGGTCTGGCAGGCTGATGAAGTCACAGCTGAAGGTTGCGGAGGAGGCTGCTGGCAAGGCAGCCGCAGCACGGCAAACTGGTGAGATCTCCCTGCAGACTGCGCACCAGGAGTTGGAGAGGAGCGCTGAAGCTGTGCCGCAAGAATCCGCTGCAAGGCTTCAGCAAGAGGCCAATTTCTTGACCACCATGGAAAGAGCTAGAAGGGCAAACTCGCAAAATTAGCACACTACGCGAGGTAGAACAATAATCATGTGCAAAGCTTCATACACCCAGCGAGCATGAATGTGTGCCAATGCAACTGAGGGAGACATTGCCAGCGCCGCCGCCAACCGCTCATCAGCAAATGAGCGCTTGAAGCGCGCACAGGCTGGCGAGTTGAGCATGAGTTGGTCACCTTTACGAGAGAGACAAGCTCGGATGACATCCACTCTCATGGCGTTGGAGTTGCTGATGGCATGGACATGCCTATGAAATTTGTTGAGCAGCACCATCAAACCTGGCTGGTCATGTGAAAATGATACTGAAGGGCCCGGCATTCAGCTTCCCGCTTACAACGGGATGTACCTGGCACAGCTCCGCGCCAGGGGGCGATGGCGCAGATCAAGCGCAGGGAGGGCGCCATCAAGACTGAAGCGGAGCCTTTGCTGCCCACCGAACCGGGCTCCAAAGCACCAAGCAAAGGGTAAGCCAATTTGGCTGTGGGTCGAGACCAATGGTACCTTTTTTGGAGGTGAATTCAATTCACCACCCATTTTAGGCTTCCTATTTTAGTGGGGATTGGGACGTTCACTGGGGGTGCGATTTGGATTTTGACCCATGGCCACTTGGAGCACGGAAATGTGATTCAGTCGCAAGGGTTCGCGGAGGAGAAGGCAGCCAAAGCCAGAGAAGAGTCACAAAAAGAAGTGGCCGATGCAGAAGAGCAGCACAACATCAGCGAAGCTGAAGACGCTCGGATCAGAACACGGGAAAGTGAATCGCTTCCAGCCAAAAATCATGCAGTCAAAGAACAAGCGGCGAGGTGCGTAGCACCTCTGAGGTGGCTGCAGCCAGCCAAGCTGCCGAGGAGGCTTCCAGGGCGCTCGCGGAGGCTGAGCAGAAGCTAACTGCCGAGGCGGGAACTAGCGATGAGCGCGGGGAACGGAGTTTGGGGGTGGCAGAGGTAGCCCAAAATGCCGGTAGTTCATTACACTGCAGCGCCTTAGGTGCCATGTTGTGGGCAAGGGGGTGAAAATGGCTTGCTTATTTTGAAAGCGCAAGTAGATGTCTTGAATTTCTCTGAATGCAATGGGTCTCAGGCAAAGCTGCTGCAGGAGCATGAGCAAGGACCAGCCAAGAAGACTCAGAAGGCCCAGTGGAAAACGCGGTGTTGCTGGCGAGCCTAGGCCAAGCTGTGAACTTGCCCAATTTTGCAAGTCGCCATGAATGAAAGAAGGCTGCATTGAATCAGTCTGAAGCTTCACATTATCCCTGCCTTGCATAAGTGATGGCACAAAAGAAGACTGCAGCCCTCTAAAGCGTCCATCTCGCCCCTGTGAGGCGGATCGCGTTCTTCATGCTTTGGCTGCAGTGCAGGAGGCCCGCGCCGCCGTGGCGGAAGAGTGGGACGCTGGGCCGGTGCACGCACAGCGCCATGCGTCAAATTGTGTTTGGCGATTTGGTTGGCAGTGGATGGGTTTCGCTTGGTGTCCTTTCGAAAGGACCCAAGCGTTCCATTTTAGGGCACGTGTTAGAGATGCTTTAAGCAAGTCACAGGCAAGCGATGTCATGACATGCTCACATCCAAAAAACATGTTTTGGTGCTTCCGTCATGTGCTGTCATGTTCTGCGCCATTGCGCACGCGGCACCTTGTGCCTGTGAAGCACAACTCTGGTCAGCATGGGTTATTGCTGGTCGTTGGTCAGGGATCCAGAATCCAGACAAAAGACACGTACAAAAGTCAATGTCAGATGCACAAAGCCAAGGAGAAGTCGCTTCAAATTGAAGCCACGTATGAAGAGCGGCTCGTCGATGGCGTTTGCGCTCCAGGGCTCCATAGGGCCGACACGGTCCGCTCGTTCACGAGTGGGCAGAAAGTGTGAGAGAAGCAGCCAGGAGGTTGGGAGCCCCTGGCGGTCTTTAGAGCTTGACCTGAGCCCCAGCAATCAAAACGGAACCCAGTCGAATGCGCAAGGGCCAGTCCACTCTGCGCGGCTTTGGCCACGCGTGTGAGGTGCCAGGGCGACTTGGCCATCATCATGCAAGGATGGGGCGGCTCTGGCTGCATGCCCATTAAAACGGCGCAGGCAGCGCCTTGGCGCAAACGCCCGGAGGTCAGGATAGCATGGATAGCGAGCTGCCAGCTTCTGCAGTTGCACTATTTGTGATTGGTGCGGCCCTGTTGCATTCGTATAAAATTGGTTGTTTTCTAGACTGAAAATGAACTTGTCGTGTTGGACTTCTGGCCAAGGCACGGAAGGCTGCGGAGAAGGAGAGGACAGCAGTGGACAAGACCATGGCAAAAGCAACCGTCTCCAGCTCCCGAGAAGCTGAGCGATTGAATCAAGCCACTCGGCCTCGAAAGTTGGTTGAGACTGAAGGGGAGTTGGAAGCCTGCCTTGCTTACTCAGCTGTTTCAGAATGTGTCACAGGTGGCTGCTCTACCGACTTGCCTCGGCTTGAATTTTGCTCGCAATGTCGGGTTCAGGCCGTTGCAGACCTCCGATCTGCGCCTGGCTCGGGTGGGGAAGCTACACGAGACCACGCGCAGGCGCCGGAGACCGGAGATGGCCGGAGTCGACTTTCGGCGAAGTCGTGGCTCGTTGAAAGCACCCCTCCAGGCCCTGGATGACGCATTGCAGCTGGTGCTCAGCTGCCGAGACACCTCGGCCAAAGCAGAAGCACGAAAGCACCGTGCAGTGCGCGCCAGGCCTGGCATTCGCCTGTGGTGGGGTTGGGTGCATTGCGATCCTGGGGAACAGATGCATGGTCTCAAGAGCGTTCTTGGAAAGAGGGACAGGCGCCCACAGTTGTACAACGCATGGCCACTGTACGTGCGCAATGGGAAGGCGAGAAGGGGCACATCAGATTTTAGCGGCATCCCGGGCAGGCTAAATGCAGTGCGAGTGCTCAAAGAGCAGCGTGCCAGACACTAGGCGGCAGCAATGCTCGATTTTATTTAGTGCGATTTCATGTCCCACCCTGTCACCTCACTTTCTCGGCAAGCCGCAGAATTGCTCGCTCTTTGCTTGGAACCAGTGCTGAGACAAGGACATGCTGCGGTGGAGAAGGAGCATTCGAAAGCTGCGAACGAATGGGAGGCCAGGTGCTAAAAAGCTGAACTCAAGCCTCCTTTCCTCCAAGCAACCCAAAGGGGAGGCCTGAGCTCTTTCTGGAAACCCTTGCCCCCAAACAGCCCAACCTCAGAGGTAAAAGGTATTACACCCTGGGATTTCACCTTGTTCCCTGTCATCTCAGGGTGTAATACATGTTTCCGTTGACACAAAATGGCTGTGGGTCAAAACCAATGGTACCATTTTGGAGGTCAATTCACCACCCACTTTCGTCTATTTGAGTGGGGATTGGGACGTTCACTGGGGGTACGATTTGGATTTTGACCCATGGCCAAATGCCGCAGATGTCGCTGAGGCCTTCAGCAGTGCCAAGGCCCAGGCGGAGGCTCAGCAGGCGCAGGCGGAGGCGGAGTTTGGGCAGGCGGAGGCACTGGAGCGCGAGAAGACGCCCGAGCTGGCCAGGGGTGGGCCATGGCTGGGCCATGGCTGGGCCATCCCTTGAGAATTTTTGGAGGTTGGGACGTTGTCTAAAGCAAACAGCGCTGGGGCTAGGGAGAAGGGGAAGTGCCCTTTGGACAACTCTTTGCTTGTGGAAAAACAGTCTATGCCATTTCAGAAGGTGGCTCTGCTACTGAGAAACTTGGTTGACGGAGGTGGATTTGGGGAGTGGATGAATTCGGTTCGCAAATCCGGCGAAATGTGGGTTGGCTGCGGCTGCCCCCAGTTAAGCCAATAAAGCTCCGCTCATCACGGCCAGCTAAGGAAGCGGAAGAAAGAAGAATGCAAGGCTGCCATTAGTGACCCGCCAACAGATGTTGGCACCTTGCTCGTTGCATTTTGGGCTGACAGCGCCAAGAAAAGGTTGAACCGTGATGTCAGTATTTGCTGGTCATGCGTGTGTGCGGCTGGTTCAATATGTTGTGCCAAAACCGTTTGCAGTGGCCATGGCCGCAGACTTTTTTTTGCTTGAGGCGAGGCAAAGCAGTCGCTGAAGTCCGCGCGGTTGGCTGAAAAGACTACGGCAGCAGAAAGGCTCGTCACTCGAGGGTCTTGGGGTGAAGCAGGCTTTGCTTTGTTGGGGGTTGCACGTTGCACGCGCATGATGAGCACCGATCCAGGACGGCGCTTTACAAGCACTACGCACAAGCAGATGCAACTCGCCGTGAAGTAGGCACCAAGTCCAACCAAGTGAATGTCCCATAAGAGGTGTGCCAGACCCCTTGAGTCAGGAGAACTCGGTGCTTTGCATGCGCTGCTAGCGATTGAGCTGCTGCAAGAAAGTTACGTGTACTTACCTAAAGACGCCCATCGTGATTTGCATGAGCATGTCAAGAGATGCCAAGGAGGCCCTGAAGGCTGCTTTGAAGTCTGCTCGCTGCTTGGAGCGAACTGCCGCAGCGGAGCGGCAGAAGGCAATCGCGGCCATCCAGGCCTCATTTCAAGGAAGGAGCTGAGTCACACACGCACGCACACACACACACACACCCACACCCACACCCACCCACCCACACACACACACGCAAAACTGGGAAGACTTAAGCAGACCACCAGTGCCGCGTGCCTTCGGGCAGAGCCACTTGAATGCGCTCTAGCGCGGCGAAGGAGAGCCCCAATAGGTCAGTCATTCAGCATTTATTGACACTTTTTGCCAAAGACGTCAAACACAGCACTTTGGATTTTGATGCCCTTTGGAAAAGGGGTTTGTGTTGCCAAAGGCTTGTTCCCCGTGGAAATGCGTGCAGGCCTTGAAAGCAGAGGAGTACGACGCCAATCAGGTGGCCCGTGGAGCATCGGGATCCACGAGTGAAGTGTGTGATCCGTCTTTGTTCGTGCCTTTAAGCATCACTCCAAGGTGGTCGATGCCTACGATGCTCGGCAGGAAGATAGGAAGATGAGTGCATCGTGCCTTGGGATCGTGCCTTGGGATGTGCCATTGGCATGAAACAGCCCGAGGAGTCCAAGAAGCGAGCTCGACAAGACCCAGATGCAGCCTGACCCTCGCCTCAGCGGCGTCTTTCTTTTGCCGGACCTTTTCGAGCTGAAACTGGGGTGGGTCAAAGCAATGGTACTGGTTTGGAACAACTCTTGAAGTAACACAGAGCCAAGAAACACTCCAGCCTGGTTGCACCGGGAACTTGGGGGCAATGCGGCGTTTGGACTTTCAGTGTTGGAAATCCTCTCGGAAAGACGGAAAGTGCGGTGTGCATTTGATGTTTTGATCGCCTTTGGGGCGACGAGGTGCTCCCATAGGGACCCAGCCGGTCGGTATGCCGTCGCCGGCACTGTACAGCAGGCATGAGGTGTCAAGGCACAGCGCAAGCTCGGGAGGAAAAGCCACTCTGTTGCATCTCGGTTTCTACGGCCAGCATGATGGTTTGTGTGCTGCACGCTGCCAAGTTTGCATTCGGAAAAGCTGCCCATGACAGCTGTCCAGGCTTTTGATGAGCATGCAGGGCGCTGGGAGTTTGTGCTGCAGGAGCCAGCACTGTGAGAGAGAGCGAGAGGATGTGTCCGCGCATGTGGTATGTGTGTGTGTGTGGTGTGTTTGTGTTTGTATTGTTATGTGCTGTTCTTTGCATTTTTTGCTTTTGGTCGGTTTGTTTGTTTATGTTTATGGTTTGCTTGCTTGTTGGCATGTTTGGTTGTTTGTTTGTTCTTTGTTCATTGTTGCTTGCTTGTGTTTGTGTGTGTGCTTGTTTGCTTGTTTGCTTGTTTGCTTGTTTGCTTGTTTGCTTGTTTGCTTGTTTGCTTGTTTGCTTGTTTGCTGGGTTGGCTGGCCGGCCGGGTGGGTGGCCGGCTGGTTCATTTTGATTGTTTGCTTGATTGACTATGTGTGTGTGTGGGTTTCTTGGTTTGTGAGTGTGCTTGCTTGCTTGCTTGCTTGTTTGGTTGTTTGCTTGTTTCTTTGTTTGTTTGTTTTCGTGTTTCTGTGGTTCTTTGTTTCTTTGCTTCTTTGTGAGCCTTTCTTTCAGCTTGCTGCTCGTGCGTGCAGGTGGCCCACACCACAAAGTAGTGTTCAAATGTCAACGTTGCTCCTGGCTCGCATGTTGTACGCAACATGAGCCACAATCAAAACCCGGGTAGATGAAGGTTAGTAAGGGAGAATCCCAACCATAAACTCTTGAAGAATGCTTCTGGGGATTGGCCATTTTGATGCCGGGTTTTGATTCTGCCTCACATGCGCAGGACGGGAAGGGCGCCATTCGCGTGCGCCCAGAGAACGTTGTGCCGCCATGGGCCTAGAGAGCACCTTGGGTCAACCCGAAGACCGAGATGCTGAGGCTTGAGGCCGCAGCCAGAGATGAGCCGCTGACCTCAGTGACAGAATTGCAAAGGGGTTGCAAAGGGGTAGCAATGCAGCACTTATGCATGCCGCCGGCTACAAAAACGGCCTGGCAGGTTGGATATACCAGAAGAGTTTCGATGTGTCATCACAAGGCAGGGTCCAACAGAGTGGTGCAAGCACGTGGAAAGCTGCAGGGAATTGATGGAGCGCCCGGTCATCACATCCGATGGCTTGCAGCCCAGCATCCACCGTGCAGATGTTTCATTTCAGGCCAATGCAGTTTCTCATATGGAGTTGAGTTTGCAGAGGCTCAGGGAGTTTGAGTTTGAGCCCGTGTCAATCAAAGTTGAACAATGATGCACATTGGATGCACCGGTCTGGTTGGCTCCATGCCTCCCATCCATCAAGCAAGGTCCGAAACGTCAGAAGTTGAAAATCATGGAGGATCAAACGTGAAGGGAAGCATGGGAAACATTGGCCTTCCCATTGCATTTTGTGAAAGACGCCCTGTCAAGACCGTTGTCGGTTGTGCTGACCATATCCAGCCCAAGGCCACACCTATGAGCGCTCAGCCATCGCCAAGTGGCTGGAGGTGTGGAGTGGCCGAGCCAGCATGGCACGTTCAAAAAGTGGGAATGCTTGCGAGGAGCATGGCACCTCTCCGAAGACCGGCCGGGAGTTGCCAGACAAGGCTGGGAAAGATTTGTGCTGAGATTTCATGTTGCCAAAGCCGCCTGATGTGTAGCTGGAAATGCAAAGGATTGAATCACATCCTTTAGCAAAGGCTTAGCAAAGAATTGTCGAACTGCGCAGCATGTTTGTGCTTGCTTGCGGAGGTCTTGCGACCCAACCACGCCTTGCGAGCCCAGATCATGGCTTTCCGGGACCGGCTTCCGGCACATGGAAATGTATTCCACGGTGGCTTGTTGGTTTGACATGCTGCATTTGGCAGCTTGGCTTTGGCTCACGGAAGCAGAAAAGCATTCACCAGGTAGGAATACACATTTGACGCTGCTGCCACAGCCGGTTGCGAGCATCGAGCAACCAGAGAAGGACCAGTGAGCACCTAAGAATAAAACGTGTTCTATGCTAGTGCATTGCAACCCCATGGCTCTTTGCGATGACATCAGAGCAAGAGGATGAAAATGCGGACGTGGAACCAGAGGTGTCTCCAACAACCATCAGGAATGATTTGATTGCTGCCCTTTGTGTCTCGGAAGAGGAAGTCAGCAACTCGTCTTGAAGTTCAGCTTCTGTCGCGTGGTGAGTGATTTTGGTGTGTGTTTGTGTGTGTGCACATCCTGAAAGGCCAAGATGTGGTAGCATGTTTTTGGCGAAGACAATTCTCTCCAAGAGGACTACCTCCCAGGCAGCTTCTCCTTGTGTAGTTCTGCGCTTGTGGTTGACAACTTGCCAGCAGGCAGACAATTCACACAAGCACAAACGACCAAGTATATGTTTTGGGCTTTGCGACACGAAGACATGGCATGGCAACGCCCGCAATTTAGAACCCGCCAACAGTTCTGCTTGATGGACACGGACGTGTGCTCCCTCAAAGCACCAGGGTTTGACTCGGTTTGACCTACTAATTTCACACGGAAAAGCACATCTGCCACCCTTTCGATTCCATTCCAATTCTTGGAAGTCAGCTTCTGAACTGGATTGAGCTTCAGCTTTCCGCATGCCTCCGGTTTCCCTTGGACGGGCCAACCCCCCAACACCCCCCCTTCCCACTCTCCCCCCTTCTTCCCCCCCCTTCTTCCCCCGGTCCTCGGGCGCTGCGCTCCGAGGTCAGCTGCTGCGTGCGCCCCAGCGCCACCCCAGCGGCCGCGCCCACGAGCTGTGGCTCCAAGGGCGCCGCGGCCGCCTCACCGCCTCCCGCTTCGCCGGCGCCTGCGGGGTTAGCAGCGCCAAGAAGGGCCGCAGGGCCATCGTGGCGGCACCTCGGAACCGGAAAAACAAAAAAAAGACGAGGTGCCGGGGGAACTAGGTGGATGTGGTGCCGCAGAATCTGGGGGCATTTGATGCTTGCAAACGGCCTTGTGGGTTTGTGGGTTTGTGTGTGTGCGATTGGATGTGTGTGAGTGTGGTCGCTTTATGTGTACCGCCAATGTCCATGGTAAAACCATGGACTGATATTTGAACAGAGCATCAAACTGCGCATGAGAAAGCAGCAGCAGAAAGACAGCACGAACAATTTGTATCGGTGCAAATCAACGATAAGTCGAGCTGGCGGTGCCACAAAGTGCATGGTCAGCTGCGGGCATGTTTAATCACTGAAAACAGTAGCAACGACGACCTTTGCAGCGCTGTTTTGACATTGTTAAAATCGACTAGCAGCGTGGTTAGCATCCCAGATAAGCAGGGCAAGAACTCTTACAAAGTGGTGGCAGGGGTTTCACGAGCTAGGGCAAAGACAGCGTGCCCAAAATTCAACGTTCTGGGTGGTATACAATGGGAAATGTCCATGCAGAGTGCCCCTTGTCCGCAAGGGCCCTAAGGAGATGCTTGCCATGCCAGAAGGGCGACCACAACAAGCCAAGCGCTTCGGTGTGCAGCACGAAGATATTGCACGAGAAGCCTACGTGGCATGGCGCAAGGCGGATGCCAAGCTCCTGAGTTGCAAGTGAGAAGCTTTGTCTTCAAAGTGTTTTCACTTGGCATATGGGCATGGGTCAAAATGAAACCACCAGGGGGCCGCAGATTTTAGTCCTTGGCTCCATTTACCAAGGTGCCATGTTGGGTACCCATTTTTGACCCACAGCCATATGCAACTTGCGGAGTCCTGCGGGCAAGGGGAGCATTCCCGAGGAGCTCAAAGCCGTTGAACCTCCGTGTGCAGCCTCTGGGGCTTTGCGTCTGGCTGCAGGAGCCGTGGCTTGCAGGGTCGCCAGATGGCCTGTGCATGGTGGATGGGCAGCCCGAAGGCGAGAAGTGAACAAAGTGTGTTAGGGCCAACGGAGAAATGGGAATTCGCTGGGACAGCTGAGATGTGCTTTGCCGTGGTTACCTGAGGCTTACTAGAGGTGAAGACTGCCCAATCCATGTGGCATGTGGATGACGAGCTGCCTGTGGAATGGAGGTACCAGGCCGCAGAGTGAGAGCTTGGTTACCCTTTGGTGGAACCTATATATAGTCATTTGGTCCACTAAGACTCTGTGCTGGGGGGGCATGCCAAAATTAGAGAAACAGGTGACTTGCTGCTCGGCTGCCAACTCTGTGACGTGTCAGCTGGATCAAGGCTGATTCGATCTCCAGCACGTGTTTGAGCCACGCTGTTGCCTCTCCGCAGGTTCATGGCTGCATGAAGGTGACCTCAGAGGCTTTGGGGCACTGCATCCCCTGGTGCGATCTATTCATTTGGACGCCTAAAGAGCAGCTGTGCCGGCGCGTGGACTTCGACGAGGAGTTGTGGCAAACTGCGATGCTCTTTGGCAGCAATATGCAACAATGAAAACATCGCGATGCGTACACTCACGGGCATGGTTTTGGCTTTACCGCGGGGGGCAATTTCCAAGAAAAGTGGGATGCTGCAAGCCTGCACGATTTGTACCCACAACTTCCTGACACTGATGCTATTGGAACTTCCACCTTGACTTGGGATGGCTTGGTCTTGAAGGCTAGAAAGCCACGCCTGTTTGACCATGTGTCAAGAATGGAGTTTGGTTGTGAGGTTTCCGGCGTTGCGCAACTTCTACTTCGATTTGTTCCTCCCAGCAGCTGTAGAGCAAGAGCGAATACAGCGGCAACGGCACGCTAAGCAGCGACGGAAGAATGCACGCCGCAAGAACAAGCGCCGGCGGTGAGAGAAAGTGGCAGAGCGAGCTTAGCCGCCTTTTCGAACAAAGCCTCCCTCACAGCATGCGCAAGTCTCCTTGGAACACTTCACTGCATTCAAGCAGTTTCCTTGAGCAGAATGCCTTCAGGAGCAGAAAGGCTTGCCGCCGCTGCCACCCTGGGAGCCGGAATCGCAGGTGACCAGAAGCTTCCTGCCAGCCTATGTCCACTAGGTTGCCTTGCGAATTCAGAACAAAGTCACACAGGATATTGAAAGATAAGCAACATGCAACAAGTCCAGCCTTGTTCGCTTCTTTGCCGAGATAGGCGTTCGCATGGTAGGGGCTCGCAGATGCGACTTGCAAGGAGGTGGTGCAGCCACCCCGGCCTTCCAATCCCATGCCACAGGCAGAGCCTTAGAGCTCGCAACAGAGAGCCTTTGTTGTCGCTGCACCTTTGTTGTCGCTGCAGAGCACTCAATTTTGCGTGAGCGCCTCGCCAAATCTTGAATCATGAGGCAGTGCACATTCAATCGCACACGGTCATGCCAGGGCCCCGGTTGCATTTGATACATGCACCACCGTCTTCTGCGAAGATGGGTGCGCTATACTTCAACTGAAATTGTCTTTGACTGTTGGCTGCTGTGACACAATTCGGGAATTCAAGTCTGATGAAAGACCTGCACACATGTGACAGGCATTCACTAGAGAAAGCATATAAAGCTCCCGAGCTAGAGTGAGTTACGGTTGTTAGAAAGGAGTCACGCATACGCAATGTGGCTGAGTCTCGGAATTCCCCTCTTGAAGCCTGAAACGTTGTTAGCGCAAGCTTCGTGCTCAGCGCCTTGGCCCGGTGCAATGGGAAGCCAGTGCCTGAGGCTCACACCGGGGCATGTTCTGACCTCAGGGGAGGCCATCCAGGCCTTGGTCATGGCCCCGGCCGGGGCTTCAAGCTGAGGTCATCACACCTCCCCCGGGTGCAAGGCAATGGTTTCACTCGGCGTCCTTGAAATCGAAAGCCACACAGCAGGGCTTTCTAGTGGTGAGGGGTGGAATGAGGGTTGATTCAGTGGACCGCGTTTCTTGCCATTGTGTGAAGGGTTCAAAGCAAATCATTTGTGGCAGCTAGTTGCTGCCTTGACTTGCAGTGCAATTGCCGCAAGTTGGCTCAAGACGCTCGCGCCGTTGCTCAGCAAAGCTTTGCTCTTTGGCTGCATTCCGCTGACTGTCAGCCCTTTTTCATTCACTAGCCCACGAGTTGGAAGCTGGCAAGTCGTGTTGGAGTTTTGCTGAGGCAACGGTCGGATGAGGACTGGGCAGGGACCTGACCTCCCAAAGCTGCGAGACTCCAGCGGGCCGGTGGGCAGGGGGGGAGTCAAAATCCTTGCAGGATTTTCATTCACAATGTGGACTCCTACATTGGCAAAGCTCTAGTGAAAGAGCTGCGAAAAGCAGATGGACACTCGGCACAGTTGCTTGGGCTTTTGGCCAACTGATTTCTCTTCGTCGGCGTAGTTGCACGAACCCAGGCGGTTTGAACCGGATCTTCGGCACCTCCAAAACGAGCGATGCGCCCGCGGCTGTGAAGCGCGTCGTGAGCAGAGATGACCCAAAGAAGGCCGCGCTTGTAGTGCAGACCATGGCATGTGCTTGCTGGTTGGGGGGCGCAAAAAGCGCTGCACCCTTTTTCCTGTGTCATGTGCTTCGTGGTTTGCCACAGCCGTGAGTTCACCAGGCCAAGAAGATGGCGGAAACTATGCAGTCGTGCAGACTGGTGGCTGCTGGGCGAAAAGGGCCTGTACCAACTGTAGACGTTCCATTGCTTTGCTGGAAGCACGTGCTAAGGTCATCAGCCTCTTTGACTGCAGTATGGAGGACCTAGACTTCGCCATCAACGCCTTAAAGGTGGACCCTAAGGCCTGACGGGGTTGACGTACGGCAGAGGTTCAGTGAACAAAACGTCACGCTTGGGAGCCAACAACGGCTGTGAATGGCTGCGAGTCGTTCGAGTCGTTCGAGTCATTCGACTTCTTGTGGTCACTTGCCACAGTTGAGTGAGGCGCTTTGCAGAGTGCAGATTGACTTCTGAGGCAAACCCGCCCAAAGTAACTGGCGAGCTCGAGAGCGAGGTGATCTTCCTCGTGATTTCATCGGTCCTTGGACTGGATGATGGCGCCAGCATGTCATCTTTCGCTGACATTCAGCGCTCAGTGGCAGTTCACTTTGTTGTCCAACCAGCGAACAATGGCCTCCCTGGGCAGTCAACGTGTTTTTTTGGTGTTGTTTCAGGCTGGCACTTCTGAGCCAAGGTGATGGTTTGGGCATCGACCTCACCTGAGTCACCGGGGGCGGCCATCAAGGAGAGGGCTCTCACTCACGGAGTCGCGAGTGGCGAGAATTATGGTGAGATGGTGACAGTCCCATGGCCCGCGGCAGTGGGAAACAAAGCTAGGCACTAGGTTTGCGCACGTCAGGACTCCGACTACCTTCGGCGGGCTCCGAAGAAGGGCTCCAAGTTCGAGCAGCGCCCTGGCCGAATCTTTCGCCGCCCGCAGTCTCTCACTGGGACGCGCAGGTGGAAGGAGATGGAAGACCTGGTCTTCAGCTGCTTCAACCGGGAGGGCTCTCAGGTGAAAGGCTTCATAGTTGCTGGAGGGCTGCTCTACGGGGAGGGCGAGGACATCCTGGCGGAGATGTTCAAGGATGCCTGGCGAGGCGTCCAGTCCCACGTGACTGTAAGCCCGGGCGTTAACAAAGTGCCCACAGCGCCTCGCATGCATGTGCGCATCGGGTCATAGCCAAAGGTTTAAGGTTCGGTCAAAATGTGCTGTAGTCTATGGTCCATTTAGGACATGGGGGAAGGGACTCGCTACTTTTCTCATGTCCTTCAGAGGAAACAAGTAGCTTTGACCATAGCTCACATGCCCGGTGCATAAGCGCGGTCCTAGGTGCACGTGCGAGATATGGCGCGGATGGTGCGGCAAATTAGCTTGACCGCAGAGGGACTCAACCCGCTGGAAGTTACACCGTACTTCCTGGCAGTCGATCAGCCGTTGGGCCTCAGGAAGCACGAGCTTCAGGAGAAATGATGCTCAGAATCCACGCTTCAAGCAAAGAGGTGCTTGTTGTGATTGAACGATGGAAACCACGGAGACTAGTGGCTGTCTCTCGGTGCCGCTGTGCTTCCTGTCCTTGTGAGAATCTTTGCCCAGGCCTGGCAATCCACCAGTCCCGACGCAAAAGGCCTTGGTGCAAGGAATCGTGGATGAGATGGGCGAGCACTATGAGGCGCTGATCAGAAAGCAGGTTGCAGGCTGAGATGCGCTTTGTTGATACGGTAGTGTTGCTTCCGGTGTGGCTTGATGAGGCCAACTCAAAACCCTTTTCCTGGCTGAGAAAACGATGTAGCAAGCATGATTCCTCAATCGCGCGTAGGTGCCGCGAGTCTCACAGTCGGAGGCAGGTGGGTGGCCTGCAGTGTTGCCACTTCGCCAGGGGGGTGCACGTTCCCATGGGGGAAGCCCAGGTGTTTTACCTGGCACACGTGCTCTTTCAACAGTTGTGATCAAACTCAACCCATGCCTTCAATCTGTTGGTTTTACTCAGATTCGTTCTCGCTTGTTCATGTTGGTTCCTGGTTCCGCTTGAGAGGATGATCTCCCATCGATTCAATTGAATCATGAACCATCCTTGCCCAATGCCTACTGGTGAGTGAACCTTGGCTCCTTAATCGCAAGGGCACGTGAAACCACTGCAAATCACCCAGGCGTTGCTCCAGGATTTCCAGAGCCACGGTACCCCAAAAGAAAGCTGCGGGGGAAAAAGAAACACAGAGCTCAATTGCCTTGCATGTTGTTCTTGGGTGCTACGAAACTCCTCCCTTTTTGTTCAAGGCTTTTCTGGGCAGGTTTAGGGGTTTGTTCATCCAGTCCTTCCTATGTTTGTCACAACGAGGGACCCCTGGAAATGGTTCCAAAGCGAACTGGACCTATTAGCTACTAGACCTATTCACTCTTCGCCCCTGGAACTTCCAATGGCTCCTCTTTGCCATCGGACCCTAAATCCGAGCCCTTTCCGAGCCGATTCTTCGCTCCAAGCTCCGGCGGCCGAAGCTTGGCGTTGCGCGTCGGCCGTCGCTTTGGCGTCAGGCGCTGGATGGCTCCGAGCTGCGGGAGGCCATGACTTTGGATCTCTGGATGGAGCCCTCGGCCGCGGCGCTGGTGGAGGACTTCTGCGCCGGCTGCGACCCTCCCGGCTGGATCTGCCGGCCGGGGGGCCCAAAGTCCGGACCTGGAAATTCGATGCCCTGGGGGGAAAAACCGACGGACAAACGGATGATGGGTGAAGAAGTGAGGATGTTTTGTGCTTTGGAATATAATAGGAAGCGGAGTGACAGATGATGTTCAAGAAGTGGTTGTGGTTGGACGACAGTTGGACATGGTTGCACTCACAGGTGACCAGCAACCATGATTCAAACCTATTGGGAATATGTATATATATATATATATACATTATATTTGTATGCGTTGTGGTTCTGCTTGTCCGCATATCTGGCAGAAGATCGAGCATCGCTAGCGAGGCTCCTGGGATTCAACGGCCTTTGGCTCAGGAATGGCCTTCTGGCCAACCTCCGCAGCATCGCAGACGAGTTCTGCGCCGGCAAAAAGCTGCGGTCCATGCGGCGCCTCAGATGGGCAAACGACAAGCGGCAAACGAATCACTGGGGGCGCCTGCTGTCCAAGAAGTTCCGCATGGGAAACTGAAGCCTTGGTTGATTTGGGACCTTTCTGGGCAAAGCATGCGAGGTTTCTTAGAAACCCTTTCAGTGTAGAGTCTTAAGCCACAAAATTCTTTGAAGACCGCCGGCTTGCTGCATCTTCAGGATCATCATTGCTGGCCCGCCAGCATCGGGGAAATCGAAGCTGGCCAAAGCTGTGGCCGAGCACTTCAAGGTCCCCTGCTTGGTAGACTGCACCCTGGAAAAGATGAGCCTTGGCCGCAGATGGCACGGCAACACAGAGAGCTAGGACCTGAACCCCTTTGGTCAATCATCAATCCATCAAGGCCATCCTTTTTGTGACACTATTGGCGTAGAAGATCGTAGAAGTAAAGGTGGTCAAAGCTGTGTATCGTTCGCCTGCAGGCACGAGGCAAGCCCCAAACTCAACTGCGACCGAAAGCTGTGTTTTTCCTGGTTCATTCTTGTTTGCCTTGCTGAGATGCCTGCAGCTGAGGGCTGAACAGATCAGCTCCAACGTGTGTCGCTATAGAGGCTACGTGCTGGATGCAGGCGCCTGTCAAGGGAGGCTGCAGGTGACGCAAGGGCCATTTGCCAGGGATTGCAACTGGGCTGGGGCTTTGAATGAACGGTGCAGGCTCCGGTTTGATGGCTAGCCTTTGTGAGGTGGCATCGGCTTCGCGGAGGCTGAGAGGCTCTTTCGATATGATGTGGAGGTTCCCAAGTCTGAGGAGAGAGATGCCGCCCGAAGACACAGATGAAAGTCTGTATTGTAGGGGTTTGTCCACGGAGCGCATGTAAGGTCAGCTGCAGGTTGTTGTGCTAGTAATTGGCGTCGAAGGAGGAGGCTGGAGATGGTGAAGATGTTGAGCCTTCTCCTCCAAAGATGGAGCGAAGGCTGAATGAAGAGACGTGCCCCTCGTATGCCTCTCCGCTGCACGAGGTCCTTGTGAATCGCATTGCGTCAGGAAAGCAGGAACAAAGCAGCAGCCAGGGACAGTTTGCACTCCTGCCTTTCGCGCGCCTGCCCTTGGCAAACATTGCAATCACCCCTGACGAGTGGCTTGTCACTTCGCAATGGGGTCAACAAGAAATCTGATAAATAATCGGCGTGTTCGCATTTTGCAGCAGGAAATAATTATCGTGCAATTTGTTGAGTTTTTTCGGCGAATGACGGTGCCTTTGGGAAATCCTGAGGTCATCATCACCCAGGCCCCTGCTACACTTTGCAAGGCCAAATGGCAGGGCTATGGTGCTGCACCAGAGGAGTTTGAGAAGTCCATGCAGGCCCAACCCCGAAGGTGCTTTTGTGGCATGTTCCAACGAAGGTTGCGACCTGAAAATTTCGACAGCTTGAAATTATTGGCTCGAGAAATGTATCAGCGTGCCAGGACTACACAGAGAGCAATCTCAGGAAGGATATGCACAGCCTGCAAGACTTCTTTCAAGATGTGGCGAACAAAGGTGTCCTGAACTTGCCTATTGCCGGCAAGGATGAGGAGGACCTTTTTGAGAGCGCCAGAATCTACATAGAAAGATCTGGCCGGCCCTTCAACTATCTTCCAACTGATGAGGAGGCCTGGCTTTGTTGTTTGAAGAACCCTTGGCTCTTTATCCTTGCCACTTCTTTCCCTTCCCAAGCGAAGCGGGGTTTCAAAGAAGGTAGTTCCACAGAGTATGGGTCCGCGGCGTGGGGTTGTGCAAGAAGCAGAGAAAAAGAGAAAGAGAGAGAGAGAGAGAGAGAGAGAGAGAGAGAGAGAGAGAGATAGAGAGAGATGTCGGAGTACATGCGGTGTTGTACTATTTGTTAATGTTGAAACGCATGTGGAAACATGAACTGTGTGTGGAATGCTTGACCACAATGGCATGTGCCATTTTGGCTCAAGCATTGATCTGGGTTCCTGGAACCCAAGCTGTTTGAAAAAGTTTGATCTGTGGCACTTTCGAACTTAACCCCGACCAAGCAATGGCTTCCTCGGCAACCTCGGCAACTTCCTTTGAGCTGATTGAGGACCAGACACTCACCGTGGAGGAGGTTGAAATGGCCAGCCAGGAGGCCCAGGACATTCGCACACGGGAGGCGGCAGTGGCGGCCGGCTTGGTTTTGGACGAGCCCGAGGCCCCCCCGTCATCTTCGGCGACCGATGTGATGAAGGACCTCTCCAGTGCACTGGAGCGTCTCCATGTGGCATTTGCCACACCGACTTCCGGCTTGGGTGCCCCTGGCCCCGCCGAGGAGGGCGACGAGGGCATGGGGGATGCGGACGGCATGGAGCGGACCACACCACCGGAGGAGGCGCAGACGCCACCCACGAAGAGACTGAAGGGCTTCGTGGCGGCTTCTCAGAAGGCTACGTCCCAGACCAACAAACCCGTCTCCTTGGTGCCGGTGGACGGCAAGCCCGGGTACTTCAAGCTGGTGGACCTCCCGGATCTGTTTCCAGTCCTTCCAGCGTCGGCGGCCACCTTGCTGAGGGACATTACGGTGGAGGAGGCGGTCTCCCTGTTCCACAAGTTTGTTGGGAAGAATCTCACCGAGGACCTGGTGATTCGCATCCTGGAGGCGTATGTCCCGATGAAGATCCAGCTCCGCCAGGAGGAAGTCTGGGCTTCGCAGTTCCAGAGGAACAAGGCGTGTATCGGCACCCAGCGCATGCACCGGCTCGACGCAGGCCATTCCGATTACAAGTTCATGTGCAAGGCATGCGGCACGGGGTGGCCAGAGGCAGCCAAGCAGTGCTGGGTCTGCCCCGGCAAGGAGTTCGCCCCCTTTCAGGCACCCTCGGCCACCTATGAGGCGGACGGCATCACCTACAACCTGCTCATCGTGGAGGGCAAGCCGACCTGGATCCAGCAGCGAGAATGGGGAAGCCTGGGTGCCGCTGGCCCCGGTGGTACCCGGGCACAGGCCGACCGCAACTTGGTGGACGGCACGGTCTTGGGGAGAGCCCCCCCAAAAACGGACACGGCAGATGAGATCACCATGGCAGATGCGGTCCCGCTTAACAGGCGGGTGGACATCCGGCAGGAGATCCTGTCCATGGAGGCGGACGACGAGGCGTTGAAGGTCCGGGAAAGCCAGGAGATCAAGGTCAAAGTGCAGCGGTCCCTGAAGGAGGCGGAGGCTCAGAGCTTCCAGCTCTACCACCCCCAGGTGGACCAGGCGATCAGGAAGAAGGAGGAGCTGCATAAGGCCTTGCGGGAGCATCGGGAACCGACTCCGGAGGAGGCCTCGGCCAGCGGCACAAGGAGTTGGTCACGGAGGAGATGCTGGACAATGAGATGGCTATCCTGGCGCCTCTCCAGGAGGGCATGCAGGCCCTGCCGTCAGAGGAGGTGGCCAATGAGGGAGCCCGTGCCCTCAGGAAGGTCAACCTGGAGCGTTTCAAGGCCAAGCTGAGAGACCAGTACTTGGAGGGGAAGGGCGTTGACGCCAGCCAGGCGTTGGCTGAGGCGACAAGACCTGGACTCTGAGGATGGCAAGCTGTCCCTTATCCTCTGGGCAATGAAGCGGCACCAGGGAGAGCTCCGGATGTTTGGGGGGATTTGGAAGAAGCACGCAAGCGGTGAGATCCCCCGGGGCGCGGATCAGCAGTTTAAGCTCGCGCCGGAGGAGCTCCTGGCCCTTGAGCGCAGGACTCACCCACTCACGTGCGAGCAGGACGACATCGACCCAGTCATCTACACGGCCTTGGAGATCCGAGCTCAGGTGAACCCGGGTGAGCGCCCGGCGCCTGAGCAGGTGGTGGGCATTTTCTGGGCGAAAGGTGATGGGGTGTTCTGGACCAGACAGACGAGAACGTGGGACCTGCCGAGCCTTACGGGCGTGTACGCCCACAGGTTCACATTCAAGTACATCTACTCGGCCTGGACCACTTTCCCGTTGATTGTGAAGACGCAACGCCGGGGCCGCAATGCGGAGGGCTCGACCTCGGACAAGTGGATGGGCAACATCCTCCAGATGAGGAAGGAGGCGGTGCCCTTCCTGGAGAGCCTGGGCATCCCCAAGCCGCGCAACAAGGAGGAGTGGAGCTACATTTTCAAGGAGATGGGGACATTTCTGGCGGCAAAGAATTTCATCGTCAACTGCCCGTTGCCCGTGATGGAAATGCCGGTGGCCCCCATCCATGACAGTAAGGAGGCGCTGCGTTTCAGGGCAGTTTGCGACGAACGAATCACCCTCCCGCTGGCCGCGCTGAAGGCCTTCGACTCGGTCTACACCAAGTTGGTGGCGGGCCTGAGCAAGTCTTCGATGGTGGAGGTGAAGGTGAACTGGCGCTGCAACGTGGTCCACGACTGGGTCGAGCACGTCCCACAGGAGGCGGCGGGGGCCTTGTACGACAGGTTGGGCTACTCCCAGGACCTCATCCGGCAGCTGGGTTGCTCCCCCCCCTTGGGTGCCGTTGGCCCCGGGGGGGGAGCGGCCAAGGAGGCGGACCCCAAGGCCAAGGTCATAGGGGGGGGCAGACACCACGCTCCGCACACCAGACCAGGAGGGCACCAGGCGGTACCCGCCCATCACCACGGCCACGGTCACGGCGGTTGCGGGCCGGAAGTATATCAACAAGCACTTCCCCAAGGAGACGAAGCATGTGTTTTGGGCCTCCGTGGAGTGTGGCTTGGTCCTGCCAAGCATCAGTGCCTGGGAAGTGGTGAGCAAGGAGAAGTTCAAGACCACGGGGGGCTACATGTGCAGATTTTGCAAGGGCTTCTGGAAGGCGAGCCGCGGGGGGACCAGACTGCTCCAGATCACGGGGTGGCACAAAGATAAGGCCACCTGCTTGCAGCTGGTGATGGACGAGCCCCCGGAGCAGCTGTACAATCAGTGGATCCGGGATCGGATGGAGTTCTACAAGAGGGTGGAGCCAACGGAGCCTCCAGGGATTAGCGGCTGGTTTTGGGTGACGCGGGCACCCCCCGCATGCGCTTCAGCTCCTCGAACGGCCTGGGGGATGTCTCCACTGCCCTGTGGTCGGTCATCTTGAGCAACCCGGAGAAGTCGGGGCTGGCGGCAATCCACTCGGTGGCGAAGGAGGCGATCCTGAAGGGAGGGAGCCGCTAGGTTTTGTCTCACAACCCTGTCGGATGTGGGAATCATGTGCTTTCTTCCCGCCGGGACTTGGGTGCCTTTGGCCCCGTCTCCGGGGGGAGGGGTATAGGGTTTTCCTTGTTGGGTTCGTTTTTCACCACTGTTTTCCTCTCTTATTCGACACGTCACGGCAGCTTGATCTCCACGACCATTGGGTCACATGCTTTGGCTGCCCCAAGGACGGGCCATCTCAGCCCGGTTCGGAAAAGGTGGCCGCGGCTGACTCTTGGTCTCCTTGAGGTCCCCTTGGGGTTTTGGGGAGTCCCCCGCCGGGTCGGTTTCCCCCCCTTGTGCTTTTGGGGGTTTCTGGGGGACTGATTTTGGGTCGCTCTCCCCCCCCCTTCCGGTTGAATTCTCGGGACTTTGGGGGGGACCTGTCGGGATGCGTGTGGCCTGCCTGCTCCATTTGCACTCTGCAGTCTGCGAGTTTGGAGCATGCATGCATTGTGCCGCGGTTGGGTCCCGGCTGTTCGATAGGAGGCTCGAACCCCCCCCCCCTTTTTCATCATGGCTAGGGTATCTACCAAGTTTCTTATGCGCCCGCCTTACACACGTCTGTGGGACCGCATTCCAAGGGTCCTATGGGACACGTTGGCGGATGAGTCCTTCTCCCCGAGACAGACGGACGGGGAGCTGTTGGTCCTGATGCGCCTGCGCCAAGGCACGGAGGAGGAGGGGAGGAAGCTGGGCGGTGAGCCGGCAATCCGCTTCGCTCAGCTCCTGGAACTTTCGGGCATTCCGGTAGGACAAGTCGACCAAGTGGTCCCGACGGACTACTTCAACGGCCTGGTGGCATCGGCGGCAGGCAGGCTTCCCCAGCCTCTGTCCGCGGCGGACCTGGCAGACCTGTGGGACAGCCTATGGTTCCTCCTCCTGGCGACGGCGGATGGCAAGCCGAGCGAAGACTTTTCCCCGCTGGAGAATGAATGGGACCGCCAGGACCAATGGAGGTGGTTCTCGCGAGATGACCCACCCCCACTCCAACAACCGGAGCTTCTGAAGTGGAGGCACTGGCGCCCGGGCAAGATAAGGGAAATGGAGCCCACGACCCAGCGAGCAATGGAACTCCATATGTGCGGGAAATGGGCGGAACGGCTCCTCGCCCACTTCGCCCCGTTTGCGGAGCACATCGCGTACATGCAGGACATCCTGGGGGAGGACTTCCGCAAGGAGGCATTGGACCTCCTGGGGGACAACAGGTTCCGGACACTCAGACAACATTGCCTGGTCTACGAGAGTCTCCGGAAGAGAGGCTTCACGGTTATTCCATGGCAGGAACGACATGTCCGCTCGCTCCTCAACCAGCTCTCCGAAGAGGAGGTCACCCCATGCAAGCTACGGCAGGTGTGGAACACCCTCAAATGGTTTTCCAAGACCTTCGGTCTGCTGAAGATTGACGAGCTCCATCGCCTCAAGTCCAAGAAGAGATCGTTGGAAGAGGCGCTCACGGACACGGTCACCCGGCCGCAGCGCAAGGCGGTGGTCCCC